CCTACGAGTACGACATTGGTTTTAAACAAGTGGGCCTACAACGTTTTAAACAGGCTCAGGGCAGGGTCTTGGACGCTGATAATGACCCAAGCAAGTTTGGTCTAATAAAAGTAATCATGTCTGCCAGCATAATTTGTTATACAATCATTTAGTAGCGGATCTAGAGGGGGGGGTGCAGCCGGGCCCGGCCCCCTCCCTATTTTTCGCTTCTTCTTTTTTTTGAAAGTGTGTACATGTATTTCTTTCTTTTTTTCCCCTGTTTCTTCTGCCTTTTACTGGTTATTTAAAGGGAATATACAACTTTTAAGAACATCTAAAAACAAAACTACCAAATTTTTTACAAAATACCTTACTAGGATGTTGGTAAATGACAGTCTAAAGCATCCTGTAAATTTATGGCACCTGGTGTGAAGTCGTTTTCAAGAAAGGTGGTATTTTGGTATAAATTTCTAACGGTGGTCGGCCGACCACCATTGGAAAAACCTGACTATTTTTCAACTACCGTAATTTTCGGAATATAAGCCGCGCGGCGTATAAGCCGCAGCACGCAAAAATCTGCAAATTAAGATTTGAAGTCGGCGTATAAGCCGCACCGGAATCAGGTCAACTCGGACCCAAACCAAGTCGGACCCTTGCCAAGTCGGACCCATGCCAACTCGGACCCACGCCAACTCGGACCCACTACCAACTCGGACCCACTACCAACTCGGACCCACGACCAACTCGGACCCACTACTAACTCGGACCCACGACCAACTCGGACCCACTACCAACTCGGACCCTAGCATGACCAACTCGGACCCAACAATGACTCAATCATTAGTTTCAGAGATTATATTTATAATGTTAGTGCTTTTATAGTGAAGATATTCTGTAATTACATTGGGCAGAATGGGGCTTTTAGTTTTGTTGTTTTCTTGTATTGCCGCTGTGTGGAGCGCTATTTTATAGTGCGTACAGTAAATACTGTTGCTAAACGCTTATCGTTTTGAACGTCATGAAACTAAACGTGCTTAGCTTTTTGAAACCGTGACCTGTGAAGCTAAACCAAGAGGTATTAAAAGCGTATAGTACGGTAAGGCATATCGTATGTCATTTGTACAACTTGATATATACGTGCTTTCAAAATCTCGATTATAATTTTCAGTAAAAAATTAAATTACTTGTTTGTTTTTGCAGGCCTTTGTGTCGTGTAACAAGTGGTTTTATGTGGCACACTTTGCTTCAGTGAGGAAGTTATTAATTTGAAATAACTATTTAGGCCTTTCATTTCATGTAATTGTTTGATTTTTTTTAATTCACATCTGGCTTTGAATTTTGTGGGATTTTTTTATGAATCTGTTTAACTTTTAATAATTTTTGATTTACCTTTTTCCCCCCGTGGAACATCATAGTGGAACATACAGGCAGCTACCTGTAAGGCCTTGAAGGATGATCTTCCCAGAGCTCCAATACTCCTTTTTGATGATTGACATTGCATCTATTTGTAGGGGATTAAACTTGATCATTTTTTAATTCACATGCTGGCTTTGAATTTTGTGGGTTATTTTTACGAATCCGATTAACTTTTTATACTTTTTTGATTTAACTTTTTTGTTTAATATGGAACCTTCGTTTTTCTTGCAGTGTATGCAATGGTGTTTATGTGGTTTTTTTTTTAAAATAGAGATTAGAATAGACTTCGTTTTTATATCTTATTCATTTTATTTATTGACTTATAATGTTTACTTATATTTATTGAGTTAATAATGTTATATTTGAAAGTGTTTGTTTTAATGCCATACTTTCCAATTTTATTTTCTATGAAGATCTGTTCTTAATTTGTATACTCATTTAATACGTTGAAGTTTGGATTAAAAACGAAATAAATGCTGTTAAATTTAGCAAGATGGTGTGAACGATGTCAATTAATATGTTTTAATGAAAGTAAATAATTGGTTAAACTTTTACAGCGTAATATGTTTTAATGGAAACAATTAAAAATAATAAATAATTAATTACACTTTTAAAGCTCATTTCAATGCGCTTTACAACGACAAAAATGTTATACTGCTGCAATACAAATTTCTATATAAGATAATTTACCTTACAATTACAATGAACATTTATACTAAACAGCATCACTGTAATAACAGATGAGAAGTGGACAAACTTTATGAAATGAATGATTGAAAACGATGTCGAATGATTGAAAACGATGGGTCCGAGTTGGTCATGCATGGGTCCGAGTTGGTAGTGGGTCCGAGTTGGTTGTGGGTCCGAGTTGGTAGTGGGTCCGAGTTGGCATGGGTCCGAGTTGGTAGTGGGTCCGAGTTGGCATGGGTCCGAGTTGGCCTGGGTCCGAGTTGGTTTGGGTCCGAGTTGGATCGAAACCGCCGCACCGGCGTATAAGCCGCACCGACCGCTGCGGTTTCAATTTTGTAAGGCCTCCAAATTCTAGTCAAAATGCTCTGAACCAGTTCCATTCACACTACAGAAGCTATTAAAAGGACCACAAAAGTTATATCAAATCATTTACAATTGATACTTTTACAAACAAATATGGGAATTGATGAGAAATAAACACCGGGAACTGCTGCTGGCTGCCCCGTCATAGCCCGGCAGCCTGCGCCACGCACGCCGGTGAATGACAACATTTTCCCACAGCACGTGAGAGAGTATGAAACCCACCGTGTGTTGTCTGACTGGAGCGCTACAAATCTTGCTTTGTGGCAACAGATGCTGATTTGTTTTGTCCTAAGAATAAACAGGTCCGTTTTTACCTCAAAACTTATCAAATTGTTGCGATTAGTTGCGAGAAAAATTCAAGTTTCGATCGTAACTTTCTTTGGAAGTAGTCAAAACGAAGCCGACATTTTAATAGACGATTCCGTTAATTTTGTAAGGGGTGATTTAGTCCCTCTTTTGAGTTTTACATCGTTTCTTGAATACATTTCAAGAAAACAAAATATATTGTGACGTTGAACAACTGATTATGTAATAAAAAAATGTTTCGAACGCCATAAAAATTGTAGTGGTCTTTTTTCTTTTTTTTAAACAGCGAAAATATTGGTAATTATTGTTCCCAAGAAAGAACACCCCTTTGTTACCACAAATGGTGTGGTCCGCTGTTGGGAAAGCATGCCTGCATATCGCTGCTGCACTGTACCAGTATCACGTACGGCTGGTGGCAAGTGTCGAAGACAGCTTTCATCACCGTACTTTTTTACCGCTCGGTACCTTTACGTGAGACGTGGTTTCGGTTTGTTAATGACTTTCTTAATTTATAATTCATTTCAGCAACATATCTCTTCTTATACCAGTACATTAAATACACATGTGAATTTCATTTTTATTCTTCAAGGCTCGGCGTATAAGCCGCCCTGTGTATAAGCCGCAGTAAACATTTTCATGGGCAAAATCAACGTATAAGCCGCGGCTTATATTCCGAAAATTACGGTACTGCTCCAAATTACCATTTTTTCAGTCCAAATTTTGTTTGCCATTGGTTATACGTTCATGAACGGGTGCAGTCTAGCTAGACTGGTTCCTTTACCATACAATTTTCCGGCATCTATAAATTGATCTATTTCATCTTTAGTGGAGTCAGGGGAACCAGACTACTTGAACATTTTTGTTTTTCTTGGTTTTTCAAGCATTTTCGAACACACAACTTCAAACATGTCAGTGTAACAATATACTAACCCCTCATGAAGTTAATTTCTGAAAATTACAGCAAAAGCCAACGATGTACATTCCCTTTAATTAGGAAAGAATGTTGCAACCTGACACCACTTTTTTCTTCAATTATCATCTCAATAAAGGTCAGTCATTGCAACATGTTGAAATTTAAGACATGAATTTGGGAGTGAGCAACATTTCCAACTTTGTTAGGAAATACTTTGAAAATGTTCTTGACACTCCATAGACTTTGTACACAACCAAAGAAGTGGTGTCTGGATATACATCTTTTGTAGTTTAATCACTTCAAAGACAAATTTTCACCCAACATGAACAAATATATATATGTTTCGCCTCCATTTTGCCCCCCCCCCCCTCCCCACCTTTTCTGTAAATGCTGGATCCGCCACTGCCAGCAGTGGAGTGTTATCCAAGTTAATTATTTTACCTTGCCTTTATCATATGATATAAACCAATCAATTGATTCAAAAATCCAACAATCACTGCAAATGTTTTTTTTAGGCAATAGCATGTCTGGCAGATCTCGACCAGTCAGAGGAGGCCGGGTCCAAGTCACCAGACCATCCATGCTGGAATAATGAGGCCAGAAATAAAACAAAAATGGTCACCTGGCCACTGCAAAATCGAAATGGGAAGGGGAGGGGGGGGGGTGGGATTTGGAGGGCTAAGTTGGCACCATCTTTTATTGGGGACGCTGTTCCAAGCAGACATTGTTGCAGCATATTTGCTGAGAGACACAATTTTGCCAATAGGACAATGATTTTTTCCAACCAATATGATTTCAAATATGATGGTTCTGCACCTTAGGCTCCCCCCCCCCCAAAAAAAATCCGGTTTCTGGTATGGAGCTTGCCCCAAAAGTGGTGCGACGACGCAGCTTCTTTTTTTTTTTTTACTGCAAATGGTGCCCGACTAAATTTAGTGCAAAATGTATTGGAGCCCAGAGAGGCCACATAAAGCTTACACTCAATCGTAACCCCATCTAAAAACACGTTAAAATTATGCAGCAGCAGGATTCCAGTCAAACCACTGAGTTTGGTGGTTTTGAGACATCAACTAATTCTTACATTAAAAAAAAAACTTTTAATTTTGCCGACGCGCATGGCTACGGTGACGCGCGTGCATACCAGAAACCGGAGACTTTTTTGGGGGGGGGGCTTAGAATAAGTCTAATTATGCCACCTTTTATTCCACAGAAGTGACAAATATTCAAATGAAAGGTGATAATTAAGCAACTGGAGTCGCAGGACTCACGCTTTGCCTTGTGATTGATTTGTGATTGACTGTTTCCTCGATTTGTCCATGTTTTCATTGTTCAGGTATTTTATGGTTCTGAGCGATGCTAACAGGTCAATTTCCCAGCGGCAGGAGCCTTCTCTGGCCCTGATTCAACCGCGAATCTCAGAAGACGGAGAGTGCCTTAGTCTGGATGCGCCAGGCATGGAGCCTTTGAGCATTAGCCTCTCAGACACTGCAAAGTCTGACAACCCTGTCAGGGCATTTAGGTAAGACTCTACAAATGTGTAAAAAAAATGTTGATAATTGATTTGAAAGGCTCGTGTCCTGAGATGAATCTATGAAGTTTTTTTTCTCCAAAACCTCAGTTTTGTCTCAGGCGTAATTTGTCATATCTGGTTTCCGAATCATTAATTTCCTCAAAAGTGGATCGAAATTTAAATATTTAATCTAAATTTAGGCCTTATTATTGAACTGGAGTCCCCAAGGCCACATTAGGGGCCGAAATATCTTCCAAAGCAGAAGCTGAGGATTAGGTTTCAAAATCCCCATAAGTTACATTTTCGTAACGTGAGTAACCGATTTTGTGCGTCTTGTTTATGATACATAACACATTTTTCTGGATGTCATCTTTGGTGATTAGGTAGGTTTAGGTCTACTCTATCTACCATGGGGATAACAGTTATTAAACCTTTTCAGTAAGGTAATTACAGCCCAAGGAAACTCAAAAGTACATCAAAAATGTAACGTGAGTAACCGTGGAATTGCCCAAATGCATATTTTGTCTCTGAGATATGTACTTTAAAAAATTCATGTGCCAAACCTGTTTGTCCACGGACGGCATTACTCAACCGCTTGACTGAGCTCCGGAGCTTGATTTGAAGACAAATAAACACTACACTAGACTTGCATGTGGACAACAGTGATTTTGGTGACTTAATTGTATTCAAATTAGCATGATAACACCATTCTTGCGATTTTTTAAAGATTTTTTTTCACTACATTATATAAAAAAACCAAAAGTTCAAAGTAAGTAGGTAAAATTCCTGTCAAAAGTGGGTTTCCTTCTTTTTGCACCACCCTGTAGGGTTCAAAATCTTACCCTCTATGAAAGAAAAATTATTAGGTTTTCTTCTGCCATTTTCTTAGGTGCACTTAAGTGCCCTTCATTTTGAGGCAACAGGCAATAGAGGAACATAAATAGATGTATAGTAAACACAGAAATTGAGCTTAGTTGGATTTAAACCTGCAACCTTTTCAAAAAGCAGTTGGTTGGTAATTCTCTATACATGCAAGATTTATTACTGTAAACATTTTTGATCTCAGAATTTAGTATCTGAGATTTCTGTATCTATCTTGAAATCTGTATTTGAACTCTCCAACAAGATTGAAACTCATCTTCATCAACGAAAGCTTTTCAGCTGTTGATTTTGGGGAAACTGTCAAGAAAAATGATCATGAAAGTTGACAAATGGAAATTGGAAAATGAAAACAAAATGAAAATTGCTGCAAACTGCTCGCTGAGTGGATGGACCTGAAAATACACAAATCGATAGTTAGACAGGCATGAAATTTTTCAAAATTTTGTCTGAAATCAGACTTTTCATCCAATTTTCAGACTTTTAAAAAAATTTACAAGCTCATTCCTCGTTAATAGAGGGCCTGATTTTCAAACATGGCAGGATGTCTATCAAAAGGAAAACAGTTCTGATCGAATCATCCATGAAAAGTTGTTTGGAGTGTTGCTCCCCCAAAAATTGCTACATGATCATGTCATCACCATGCAGGGTCTGGGGAGTAGACGCAGAAGGGCTGGACTGCGGCCAAGAGGCCGAAACCTGGCTGAGTACCTACCTCAAGAAGCCCAACCACAAACTGGTCTACTACAAGGAGGGTCGAACTAAGCTCAGGAAGCCCACCGTGCATTCCATGTGGGGGAAGAAGTTTGCTTCCAAAGATGAACTGGTGAGAGACTGAAATGCTGAGGGGAGGTCTCTAAAATCGATTGAGTTTCAGCAGTATCGTATCCAGGGTGTTTTTTTGGGGGGGGGGGGGGGTAATTAAAAAATTTCCTTGAAAAGGTAGCCAGAAGTTTTTCCCGTCACTCAGCACCTGCAAAATCAAAATGTGAGGGTTGGGGGCCGGACAGTTGATCATGGGAGCGCAAGAATAGAACTTTCACACGGGTCCATTGGTCGTGACAAGGGTTGAGAGGCACATGGCTACCTTTCCACCCAACCCTCCCCCCCCCCCAAAAAGTATAAACATCAACATGCACAATTCATTTACTGAATAAAGTGGCATGGCTGGCATGGGTGGCTTGTGCGTAAAGCGCTTGCCTCTCACCAAGGTAACCACGGTTCAAATCCTGGCCGCGGATCCTGGCCTGGCCGTGGATCACAATGTGAGTAGAGTTGTGCGTTGGTTCTCTCCTGTGCCACGAGGGTTTTTCTCCGGGCCCTCCAGTTTCCCTCCCTCCGGAAATATCAAACACTTTCGATCTCAGGCTGTGCTTCGTGGTCATATATGGGTCGATGTGGCCAGAAGCCATAGGCGCCTTTACGAGCCAGCGGCCCGACCACTTTGTAGCCGCGTCCTTCGCAATTCAGCATACCAGCTGCGAGTAAGGATGATTAGCTCACCACAAGTTATCATTCCCTAGTCAACTCACATACAAGCTATTTAATGAACTGCATTCCTATGTCATTGATCAATCTCTTGTAATCTTGGCTTGATTACAACTCTAATAGTGACATTCGTGTACATGACATCACAGCAAATATGCCTTCGAGGTGTCAAAAATTCAGTAAGGGTGTGAATATTTTCACAAAAATATGTTGCATTGTAAGGTTTTTTTTTTTTCTCTCTCCCTTTGCAGAGGGGTTACCAGGATTTGGCTCCGTTGTTAGTGGTGACTCAAGCCTCTTTGGATGACCTGAATTCACACCTGGAAAAGCCCATCACCATGAGGAACTTCCGACCAAACCTTGTGGTGTCTGGAGCCAATGCGTTTGATGAGGTACATTCTGACTGGCGTGTCCTTTGTTTAACCTTTATTGCATGTTCTTCGTCAAATACAATGTCAAACATCAGTGTTTTGTGATCATTTAGAATAAAATCTGTTGTGTGGACTTCATACCAGAGGCACGCAGTGTGTCCCCAACATGGAACTCCCACGAGTGGTCATGGACAGGCCCGGATTAAGTGTTTCATAGGCCGTAGGCACCATGTTTCGTAGGCCCTACTCCACCCTAGGAACCAGCACCAAATTCAAATCACAATGCACTGTGCAAATCAAGCCAGGCAAAGGAGTCAATTGCTTCTCAAAAGTGGGGCTGTGGGGTGGTACGTATACATGTGTATCTTCATCGAGAACTAATTAGATGCTTTTCACCGTGACGTTTTTTTAACCGTCATGACGCGCTTAAGTTGTTTGCGTATTGCGCGTTGCATTTAGAGTACACTTTTAAAATTCAATCCATCTATTTTGATTTTGTTCTACAAACACGCACATAAATTCAAAATGTCTGCGCCCAGAGTGACTTCAAAGCGTCTCCGCGCGCAAGAATGAGGAGTTTAGCGCTCTAATAATTTAATATAGCTCTATGTTTCAAACCCACACAGGACCTGTGGAAACACATCAGGATTGGAGACACAGTGACCTTACGCAGGACGCATGGCTGTGGAAGGTCAGAGACTAATTTTTTTCAACAAATATTTCCAATTCATTAAAAAGAAAAGTTTTAATTGAGTACAGCAGGACCTCCCCTGAAAAGTTACATTTTCATCAATAAGGAATTGCCTCATTTTGTATTGATCACAATCTAGTAAATGCCTTAAATTTCAAAACAGTGGTACAAAGGACGAGATTATTTAGAATTAAAATTTATGTCCTCTTTCCAGTGATACCTTGATTGTGCGTCTGGGGCCACGGATGACTGAGCATTTGTTGTTATTCCATCAAGGGTCAAAACCTGACTGGGCCAACTTTGTGCAAAAGGGTAACTGGTATTCTGGGCATGTGGAACAGCTTAATTTAAAGAAAGAAGACATCCTTTCTTTTAAAACAATTGTATTCAATTTTGACACGGTGAAAATAACCACTCTCATTGTTGAAGTTAACCCCTCATGGCCCAATGCCTTCAACATGGCCACTGCCTCTTTCTACACAAAGTTCTGCACAAAGTCTAGCCGTTTCAACCTTGAAAGAATAACAAATGCTCAGTCATCCGTGGCCACAGACACACAATCAACGTATCATTGGAAAGAGGACACATTGACATTTCACATGATCTTTAACTTATTTGAAAATATATATTAGATTTTTTATTAATTACATTTACATGTGGGTTTCTTTTTTTTGGATACATCCTGTAGATGAAATACCTTGGGGGATAGGGGTTGGGGTTTGGGGTTGGAGTTGGGGTTTGGGTTGGGGGATGGGTAGGGGAACTAGGGTGGGGTGGGTTGGGTTGGGTGGGGGATAGGGGTTGGAATACTAGCTTTGGGTGGGGTGGGGTGGGGACAGGTAGGGGGAGACAGGTAGGGGAGACGGGTAGGGAGAGACATGTAGGGGAGGGTTGGGGGGTCAGGGAGGGGGAGGAAAATAGGGATTTGAGAAGGGATTGGGGTGGGGATGTGAAGGGGTGGTTGGGGATGGGTAGGTGGGTGCAGGGGTTGGGTAAGGGGAGGGGGCAGTATATAGGGATCGGAGTAGGGGTTGGGGTCGGGTGGGGATGTATGGGTCGGTATGGGTTGGGGGAATGGGGTGGGCGGGATATAGTGATTTGAGTAGGGGTTAGGATGGGGATGTGTAGGGGTGGTTTAGGAGGGATAGGGGAGGATAGGGTAAGTGGGCGTAGGGGGTTGGGGTAGGGGAGGGTAGGGGGAAGGAGATAAGGATTGGAGTTTGGGTGGGGTGGGGATGTGTAGGTGATGGGGTGGGGATGGGTAGGGGGAGGATGGGATGGGTGTGGGTAGGGGGGCGGGTCGTGGATGGGGTAAGGTTTGGGTCATGTTGTGAGGATACTGTGTCTACATGTACGTATACCCATTCTTGTTCTGCATTTGTGGGGACTACACAAAAGTTCTCCCATGGTAATACAAGTACGGGACCTGAAGATACTGTGGGGGCTGCAAAAAGGCTCCACAACTGGGTCCTAATTACCCTTGCAATGGAAAACTTCCCCATAACGCAGTGACGGCTAACCTATATACGCATGTATTTATTAGGTCATCTGTTGACTTTTTATGTTGACATTTAAAAACTGACCCCTACACCCCTGGCACATCAACGAGAATCCTGATCCCCTTCCATCATGCCCATCCCCAACCCTACCTTCAGCCTCCCTTCCTGCCTTCGACAGCGAGCCATGGCGGCTTCGCCGTTCTAGTCAATCGAAAGGTCTCTGTCATTTGTTTGGGTTTCAGGTGTAAATTGACAACAGTTGATAATGAGACTGGCATGTACAGAAGTGACGGTGAACCACTGACAACTCTCAGAAAGTGAGTATACAGAATATCTTTCCAAAACCAGTTTTTGTTTTCCTTGAAGTTTAATCACAGGTAGTAGTCTTAAACCAAATAAAAATTTACTGCAAAAACTGTCAAGACAAAACTTGGAATTTTTTTTACATCCCTCTACGTATAGGAACTTTACTATAGGAACTATACCCATCCTGGCAAATTCCAACACCACATGGGAAACGGCACATATATGCACACATATTTCTGACTTTGATTCTGGAGGTGTGCCCAACCCAATGTAAAGGACTGTCAGTTTAGGGGTACTGTACCCATCCTGACAGATTCCAACAAAACATTCCGTTGGGGTTCGATGGGTTGAGTTCTGTTAGGGTTAATATGTAATATTTATCTTTAAACCAGTTCTTGTAGAGTCAGGAAGACCATAAGGTGGTTTCAAACAGTGCAGAATTCTCAAACTTTTCAGAATTTAAAATCTTCCCCATCCCAAGTTTGCTACCGCTGACCTTCGATAGAAAATGGTATGACAGACAAAAAACTACAGGGTGAATCAAAAAAGCGGAACCCAAACCCCCAAAAATATATTTCAAATTTTAAAAAATATGTAGCACCGAAAATAATAATGACTGGAAAGCCAATTTCATAAGCTACTTTTAGATGAAAAAAATTACTGAAATTGCTCAATCCGTTCAAAGAATATCACCATTTGAATGCAATGACCCTAAAATCTGTCTCGTCCAAAAAAAAAGCCATTTATTGTGTGTTTTGACTGTTTGGAGCAACAAACAAAACGACTCAGAATACTTGTCTCAACAACCGTCACCAACTGTAGTACACAATATCTATATTATTATTAACAACCCTGTTTAGGCAAACAATATGACGTATAAAATCTACTTTTTTAAAAAGACGGGCCTTCAAAAGTCTTACTTTGTTGAATGTTTTTAACGTTTAAACTGAGAATTTATCGCTGGTGATATTTGAAGACATTTGTTGTGACGACGATTCTTGAAATCGCATTTTTTTTGGATGAGACAGGTTTTAGGCCAAAAAAAAAAGGCTCTGGTTTCTGGTCAGCATGCGTGTTGCCGTAGCCATGCGCGTCGGCAAAATTTAAAAGTTTTTTTTTTCAATGTAAGATGATGTCTCAAAACCACGAAACTCACTGGTTTGACTGGAATCCTGCTGCTGCACAATTTTAATGTGTTTTTGGATGGGGTAACGATCGAGTATAAGCTTTATGTGGCCTCTCTGGGCTCCCATACATTTTACACTAAATTTAGTCAGGCACCATTTGCAGTCATCAGCCGACATTTGAAGAAGAAAAAAAAAGTAAAAAAAAAAAAGCCGCGTCACCACACCACTTTTGGGGCAAGCTCCATACCAGAAACTGAAGACTTTTTTGGGGGGGGGCCTTAGGGTCATTGTGTTTAAATGGTGATATTCTTTGAACGGATTGACCAACTTCAGTAATTTTTTTCAACTGACAGTAGCTTATGAAATTGGCTTTCCAGTCATTATTATTTTGGGTGCTACATATTTTTTTTTCAATATGAAATATAATTTTGGGGGTTTGGGTTTCGCTTTTTGGACTCGCCCTGTATATGATTGTTTATCTGTTCGGCAAAGCTAGAAAATCTGAATGATAACTAGCGGAACAGAGTTGTGTTTTAGTTACATTTAACGCCCATCTGCACCTCCCAAGAGTCCCAATCCTATTCTGCCCAGTGGAATTCTTCCAACCTCTTTACCCTGCCCCTTCCAGACCCTTGTCTCATCGCCCCCTCCTGCCAACCCTCGCACCTAACCCTACCCCATAACAGGCCAACTTTTCCCTGAAAAACCCGACCTGTGCCAACATTTTGCCCCTGCTCTTCCCTTACCCTTTTTTGCCTTTTCTGAACATATTTTTATTCAACATGCAAGTTCTTTATTGTCCTAAGATCCATGATTCTGTGAAACATTGAACCATGAATCTAGTCTGAGTTCCGCTGTTCAACGGCACCCACAAGCTTCGCAACGTCTGATATGTCCAAACATGCACATCTTATGCCACCCTCTATACCAACCAATCGTAGTTGATTTTAGAAATTGTGACGTCATTTGAGACAGAAAGTCGCTCTAAGCTGTTGATTGGTCAATTGGCTGCCATGTTTTCTGTAATACAAAATGGGTTACCGAAGACCCGATGGAAGACGCAGTCTTGTTTTGCATAAATAATGCCCACATATCGTGGATGCTTGATGTGCTGAAAGTGGCTGTTTATTCCATAGACTGCCATGAACCATGCATGTATACTAAATATCATTGGATGTGTTTTTTTCCTTAGGTATCGCATGTTGGACAAGTCAGACCCAGACAGCAAGACGCTGGGTGTTGCCCCAATCTTTGGATCAAACGTCGCATATGATGTGTTTGGTACAGTCCAGGTCGGCGACACCGTGTATGCAGCGGTGTAAATTCAAGGCCGCAGTAGAGAAAACTGCTCAGGATGTCGGAAATTAAATCTATTCTGTGAAAAACAGTATACAAAAACAATTTCTGAATAATGTAATGACAAATGGGAAAACAAATATATGTGTTTTCAATATAATTTTTGATATGCAAAAATAATTAATATTTAAGTCATGATAAGTAGACATTTTGTAATACTTTAAAGTATTCCAGTGCGTGTAGAACTTAAGTCACATTTAAATAAATCACTAATTTAAAGTGCAATTAAATGAAAGTTATTTTTATAGTTAATGTAAATTTAAAATATTGTAAAAAATCATCAAGTTGTATACAGGGTGAGTCAGCATGATCTGGACCCAAATTAATAAAAAATATTGGAAATATGTAGCAATTATCAAATCAAGTGCAAACGAGATATATTATAGGCTGGTATGTTTGACACATTTGTGAAAGTTTCATGTATATCCATTGTACGATTTTGAAGAAAAATGTTAGCAAAGAACACACGCTAAAACGGGTACATGGTTCAACAAATTTATTGAAATCACGTACATTTCAAACAATGTTACTGTACTGTCACGGAGGCACCCTTAATGGCGAATCCATTGTGCTAGTTATTGTTAAGATCCATCAAGGGGCAGTTGCTTTGTACAATGTCCGGCACGATGCTTTTGCAATGGAAGGGGAGTCCGGGAATTCATTCGTCCCTTCATTTAACCCATTAATTCCCATCATTCATTGATTCTCATTCATTCAGTCTTTATTATTTTTTTACCACATCTCAAAAAACACACATTCATATTGGAATGTAATTTTTTTATTAATGGATGTACGAATACATGTTTTACATTCATTCTTTAATTAAAGATCATTTGGAAGGGGATCCAAAAATGCAGAACTTGTGGAGTAAGGATCCTCTTTAACACAAATTTGCACATAAATTGTTGTCGGGTAAAATGGTGATGTATATTTCATTTGCTTGATTGAATTTGGGAGTGTTCATGACGAAGCCCTTTTTGATCGTGTTCCCTGCGAATGTATTTTATAAATTGTAAACTGTTGGATGTGACAATAAAAGTTTATATTTAAATAATGAAAAGTTACGAATGTTTTAATGGGAATTATGGTGAATTCCATAATTCTGACTCGCTTGTAGTGTTGCGCATGCCTACGTGAGGATTGTGAACGTTCAACCAATGAAACGGTAAGAGGCACTGGATTTTTAGGAGTCCACATTTTATTGTGACACTGGAAAAGTGTTTAAGACCAGCTAGCCATGTCTTTATCATCCGTTTAAGACCGGCCACGTGACGGGCTCTTGACCAATAGGAATAGCTAAACTGTCTGAGGTATTTATGAATATTACTTTAATCACTATATTACCCTGAAGATATATTTTGAATTAAACATTTCATAAAAAAATCAAAATTCCAGGCTCCTTGTCATATTTCAGTGGCTCTTGTGTCAAGCATATTTTGTGTGTTCTTTTCAAAAGGCAATTTTTTTGGGGGGGGGGGGGGGGGGTACTTTTGGGGTGGGGGTGGGGGGTGCCTAAAAAGACCACCCTACCCCATGAGGGTTTGACTAATCTATGCTGTGACTGCTCCACCAATGTCATTCATGGGATGAAGCACGCCGATATAGACTCTGCGTTGCGGGTATGATCTCAGATCTTTATATAATATCCTATCACGGAGGTCATCTTTCTCAGATGTCATAATATCTCTTTTGTAACACCATATTTTTCACATGATGTTACCACAAACCTGCCATTCTGTGTTCATATCCACCATGCAAACAAAGGAAATATACATTTGCTTTTGCTGCAATTTTCAGAAATAAATAAAATAGGAGGATAAGTATGTTATAGCAATTATTGTTAAAATGACTTGTTTCACGTTTAAGGCTTGTAGATGCTAGAAAAACCTAGAAAACCAATCATAATCTTGTAGTCTGGTTCCCTGACCCCACTTAAGATGAATCGGAGCAATTTATATTATAGACTGGGGGGATTTGTAAGGTCAGAGAATCAGTCTAGAAGGCCTGTACCCCTCCACAGGTGTGTAATCAATTGCAAAGAAAATGCGGAATAACTAATTAGGAAAAATGAGGAGCAGTTGTTGAAAAAAAAAGCCAGTTTTCTCCAACGCTGGTCGGCCGACCAGCGTTGGAAAAATACAATTTTTCTTGAAAATGTCAGCACACCAGGAGCCACGATTTTACAGGATGCTTTAGAGTGTCATTCCCTAACAATCCAGTAAGGTATTTCGTGATAATTTGATCATTTCGTTTTGTGATGTTTGCAAATGTTGTATCTTCCCTTTAAGTCTGAGCCTTCCTCCATGGTCTGAGGAGGTATCATAATCTTGGAAAGTCTTCTCATTTTTGACTATCCGTGTTATTTTATCACGGAATTGCATTTGCGTTTGAACCTACCAAAATTTAAATTTGTATGTTTCGTTTCAACAAAAAAACACTATTTTCCCCCGATTTGGGGCATCTGCAAACCTCTGAAAAGGGACCTTCATTTGTTGTTTGTATGCTCCTTGACTTTCCTATTTAATCGTTAATGTTGTTTTAGTCTTTACATTGTCATTTCTCAAGAAATTAGGATGACAACGTACCTTTGTTGCTTGACTTGTCGATATTATTTCACAAACATTTTTTTTTTAATTGGGAACAAATTTCTTTCACAAAATGGAAACAGCGAAAGGATTATAGGTCCGATTTTGAGATGTTGCACAAAAAGATAGAGGAAAGGGCAGTGTTGGCAAACCAATCGACAACAAAAATATCTTTCATCTTCATGATATCCGTTTAATGTTAACTTAATTATTCGGAGGTTGAAATCTGTATCTGTCCACATACAAACAGGAGATGCCCACGCGCCTGCCTTTTTGAATTGTTTGTTTTGCATTTTGCCTCTTTGTAGTTTGAGAATACACCATTGTAGTTGTCATTGTTACGTAATGATCTGTCTGTTTAGCACGCGGCTAAAGAGGTTGCAATTTCCAAACCGATCAGACACACAGTGGGCCATAAATTATTCCCCGAAATAAACACCGCCTAAAAAGAAACTCCACACTAATTGGAGGGGTCATGATTTTGAATCTGATCGTTTTATGCTAACGTCATTTATATAAACCTTTGGGGAATGTTGTTTGATACCCCGTTTGCTTAGACTGTAAATCGTCCAACATTGACAACGGTATAATGAAATTAAAATTTAAAATGATACAGTTTGAAAAGTTGCAAATTTAAAGAATACGCTGGTGAAAATTGCTGCGTGACAATGTTACACTGCCTAAAATGAACGGCAGGGAATATCAATCGCACAGTGCTTGCACGCATGGGAGCACGCGCTTTGAATTACCCGCGCTTTGTTCGGTCATGTACAGTACGAGTCCCATCATAAAGAATAAGTTAACCGGACCATTTTTTCCAAGAGTGTCTCTCTAACTAATGTAACAATATCTGCCAAGTTTAATACTTTGGACCAGTCGGTCACGATCTTGTCAAAAATTGGGTCTAGTAAGCCACCTGACTCGACTAGCGGCGTGAACGTCCTTTGCCGGGCGTAGCGCTCACAGGCACGACGGAGCTCCCCACACGCACGACGATAACAGATAGGTGTCCTTTATAGTACACCATACTCAAATGCTCAAATGAACATTCATGCACACAGTACAGGTCGCGGTTAAACCACGGGCTACAAAAGTACAAACATGTTGTTGTCTCAGATTGAATCCCTAGGTTTGACCACAACGCACCAACGATTGGTGATTGCCGGCGCTGTGGGCCTAGCTACAATTGCAGGTGTCGTCTGGTGGTTCAGAAGGACCCCCAAACCAGTGTTCAAACCGGTGGGCAAACTGAGTGAGATTTGGATCCATCCGGTCAAGTCATGTCGGGGACATCAGGTGTCAAGTGCAGAGTGCACACCTGCTGGGCTGTACAGCAACGGTTTGTATGACAGGTATGTTACACTCCTATAGGCTATACACAGGGTGAGTAAAAAAAAAAAACGAAACCCAAATGTTGGGACCAATGTTTTACTGAAGTACATGTAGCATTTTCAAAATCTAAGATATATATGAAAACCTAATTCATAAGCTTTCTTTTACTAGTACAACTACAAGTTGTACTAAAACTAAAAGGTACAAGAATCATTCAAATCACTCATGTACTTTTCAAGTTACGGAATTTAAACACAACCACCGTTTTAAGGTTCTATCCAGCACGGATCACAAAAAGTTCAGTGCTCTTTCAGCAAAACAAAAAGAAATCACATAGGGATGTGTCTGAATTGTTTTCGTTTTGCTGAAAGAACGCTCACCCTTTGTGTGATCCGTGGACAGAACCTTAAAACGGTGTTTGTGTTTAAAATTCCGTAACTTGACAAGTACATGAGTGATTTGAATGAGTTTTGTACTAAAAGAAAGCTTATGAATTGGGCTTTCATACCCTAGATTTTGAAAGTGCCATATGCAGAACTTCAATAAAACAATAGTCCCGACATTTGGGTTTCGTTTTCTTTACTCGCCCTGTATGTGCCGACAACCCTATGTTCTGAAACCCCTATGTTCCGACTTCTGACTGCCAGTGATGTAGTGCCTTGATGCTGGGCCTTGGCCTTAAGGCTGCCTTAAGGCTGGATTTTAGGGCCTTGGCCTTGGCCTCGAGGCTTGAGGGCAAAAGCCTTGGCCTTGACCTTGAGGGTTCAGGGCATTGCAATTTTGAGTCAAGGCTCTTCAAGGCCCCATAGATTTTTGCATTTTCCAGATAAATCTGTTCGAAATTTTGCTGTTACCATTTTAATCGTATTACCATGGAGGAGGGAAGCATCCTATAGATTTGTGTGTTGGGCACACTTCCACTTTATTGTAGCGTCACATTTTGTTACCATTGTAGTAGATTTGCTGCAAAAATATTCTGTACACTTGTGGGGCTAATGAGATGATCACTTTAATTGCATATAACTATGGAATAGATCTGATTGGTTGTATATGTCTCCCTGATAAGTGCTAAAGATTTGCATGTATCTGTTTTAGATAATGCTGATATTTCTGACCATGTTGGGCCAGCAAATAAAGATTTCCCAAATCAGTTTCTTGGATCTCCCATTTGTTACACTTGGAGAATTGTGTGTCAATATAGAAGTAAATCATAATTTTGTTTAGTTAAACCATATTGAAGACCTGAATTTATACTTTAATAGATATAGTGCAGTCATAAAACGGTGTAGGCCTATGTGAGCATGTTGATTGCTTCTTCGTAACAAGCAATTCGTGATGATAAGGGCGGATCCAGGGGGGCCAAAAGGGGCCATGCCCCCCCCCCCCCCCCCCACAAAAAAAAACCGAAACCATTTTTTTTTTATATGATGTCGTAATAAAGGCAGGCAATGAGTACACCACCATCTTTTCCTAAAAAAAACATTGGTTAAAATGGTCAGAAATTGCCTCAAATCGCACCACAGAGCATCTTGAATCCAAAATTTTTTCGGGGCCCTTAAGCGGGCCCCGAAGCCCAAGCCGTAATTTTTTGACCCACTTTTTTTGGGGGGGGGGGACCAAAATTTCTTTGCCCCCCCCCCCAAATTGTGTTCTGGATCCACCCTTACGTGATGATGTGTCACTCATGTGACTATAATTAGTTCTATATCAGTGGTCATTTCATAAAACAGGGCCTTGGCCTTGAGGGTTAAGCCTTGGCCTTGGCCTTGAGGCTTGAGGGTCAAAGCCTTAGCCTTGGCCTTGGCCTTGAGGGTCAAAGCCTTTGCTCAAACACTGCCGACTGCACATATTCCTATTCCTAACCCTACCCCTAAACATAACTGGGAGTAACACAATCTTATGTGTTGGTTGTCGGAACATAGAGCAGTCACCGACAGGTATCATTTACTGTGATAATTTATTGTTACACTTAGAGGGGTTTTCGTTGAACAGAATCATTATAAAATTGAATTTATGACTCCATGGTATTTGTGATTAGGAATAAATATGTGCTTGGCTGGTTTTAAACAAGTGCGTTGGAGCCTGGACGCAATAATGGCCCGATCCAAAAGTGGTGGTTTTGAACGTACTTGTTTAATACCATTTGTGTAAGGACAGTTTAGCTATTCCTATTGGTCGAGAGCCCGTCACGTGGCCGGTCTTAAACGGATGATAAAGACATGGCTAGCTGGTCTTAAACACTTTTCCAGTGTCACATAAAATGTGGACTCCTAAAAATCCAGTGCCTCTTACCATTTCATTGGTTGAACGTTCACAATCCTCACGTAGGCGTGCGCAACACTACCAGCGAGTCAGAATTTAAAGTTCTAAATTCAAAACGCAACGCCCCAGGTGCGTTTCTGCGCGACATCGCGCAGAACATGCTACGCGCACGTCAATCTCCATAAAAGGGTTGTTTACATCTTACTCGCCAGCTGAACACTCCATTATTTTGTTAGAGGGATGTTTCAAAAAGCATGAAGTGAACTTGTTGAACAAAACCGGGATTTGTTTGAACGAATTATTTGATTTTTTTTACCGAAAAAGGTATTTATGAATGGGAATAAATGTGTGCTCGGTCGGTATTTATCACTCTGTTTAAGACCGCTTAGAGTCTGGGGTGCTGATAATTACCCTCGCTCCGGCTCGGGTACTTATCAGCACCCAGACTCTAAGCGGTCTTAAACAGAGTGATAAAACCTCCGGAGCACACATTTATTTCCTTAATAAATACCGGTATATGCTTGGCCGGTTTGAAACAAGTAGGCCTACGAGTACAAACATTGGTTTTAAACAAGTAGGCCTACGACGTTTTAAACAGGCTCAGGGGCTTGGACACTGATAATGACCCAAGCAAGTTTGGTCTAATACAAGTAATCATGTCTGCCAGCATAATTTGTTATACAATCATTTAGTAGCGGATCTAGAGGGGGTGCAGCCGGGCCCAGCCCACTCCCTATTTTTCGCTTCTTCTTTTTTTTGAAAGTGTGTACATGTATTTCTTTCTTTTTTCCCCTGTTTCTTCTGCCTTTTACTGGTTATTTAATCAGGAAAGAATGTTGCAACCTGACACCACTTTTTTCTTCATATATCAATTATCATCTCGATAAAGGTCAGTCGTTGCAAAATGTTGAAAATTAAGACATGAATTTGGGACTGAGCAACATTTCCAACTTTGTTAGGAAATACTTTAAAAATGTTCTTGACACTCCATAGACTTTGTACACAACCAAAGAAGTGGCGTCTGTATACATCTTTCCTTTAATCACTTCAAAGACAAATTTTCACCCAACATGAACAAATATATGTTTCACCTCCATTTTGCCCCCCCCCCTTTTCTGTAAATGCTGCCCCCCCCCCCCTTGCTGGATCCGCCACTGCCAGCAGTGCAGTGTTATCCAAGTTAATTATTTTACCTTGCCTTTATCATATGATATAAACCAATCAATTGATTCAAAAATCCAACAATCACTGCAAATGTTTCTTTTTTTACCATGTTTGGCAGATCTAGACCAGTCAGAGGAGGCCGGGTCCAAGTCACCAGACCATCCATGCTGGAATAATGAGGCCAGAATTTTTTTTTGTCACCTGGCCACTGCAAAATCAAATTGGGAAGGGGGGGGGGATTTGGAGGGCTAAGTTGACACCATCTTTCTATTGGGGGCGCTGTTCCAAGCAGACGTTGTTGCAGCATATTTGCTGATAGACACAATTTTGCCAAGATAGGACAATGATTTTTTTCCAACCAATATGATTTTAAATATGATGGTTCTGCACCTTAGGCCAACAAAAAAAAATTCTCTTTCTGGCATGGAGCTTGCCCCAAGAGTGATGCGGCGACGCAGCTTTTTTTTTTTTTCATTTTTTTCCCTTCAAATGTAGGCTGATGACTGCAAATGGTTCCCGACTAAATTTAGTGCAAAATGTATTGGAGCCCAGAGAGGCCACATAAAGCTTATACTCGATCGTAGCCCCATCTAAAAACACGTTAAAATTGTGCAGCAGCAGGATTCCAGTCAAACCAGTTTGGCGGTTTTGAGATATCATCTTACATTGAATTTTTTTTTTAAATTTTGCCGATGCGCATGGCTACGGCGATGCGCGCATACCTGAAACCGGAGATTTTTTTTGGGGGGGGCCTTAGAATAAGTCTAATTATGCCACCTTTTATTGCATAAGTGACACAACATTCCACAGAAGTGACAAATATTCAAATGAAAGGTGATAATTAAGCAACTGGAGTCCCAGGACTCACGCTTTAACTTGTGATTGATTTGTGATTGACTGTTTCCTCGATTTGTCCATGTTTTCATTAATCAGGTATTTTGCGGTTCTGAGCGATGCTAACAGGACGATTAACCTGGGGCAGGAGCCTTCTCTGGCCCTGATTCAACCGCGAATCTCAGAAGACGGAGAGTGCCTTAGTCTGGATGCGCCAGGCATGGAGCCTTTGAGCATTAGCCTCTCAGACACTGCAAAGTCTGACAACCCTGTCAGGGCATTTAGGTAAGACTCTACAAATGTGTAAAAAAAATGTTGATAATTGATTTGAAAGGCTCGTGTCCTGAGATGAATCTATGAAGTTTTTTTTCTCCAAAACCTCAGTTTTGTCTCAGGCGTAATTTGTCATATCTGGTTTCCGAATCATTAATTTCCTCAAAAGTGGAACGAAATTTAAATATTTAATCTGAATTTAGGCCTTATTATTGAACTGGAGTCCCCAAGGTCACATTAGGGGCCGAAATATCTTCCAAAGCAGAAGCTGAGGATTAGGTTTCAAAATCCCCATAAGTTACATTTTCGTAACGTGAGTAACCGATTTTGTGCGTCTTGTTTATGATACATAACACATTTTTCTGGATGTCATCTTTGGTGATTAGGTAGGTTTAGGTCTACTCTATCTACCATGGGGATAACAGTTATTAAACCTTTTCAGTAAGGTAATTACAGCCCAAGGAAACTCAAAAGTACATCAAAAATGTAACGTGAGTAACCGTGGAATTGCCCAAATGCATATTTTGTCTCTGAGATATGTACTTTAAAAAATTCATGTGCCAAACCTGTTTGTCCACGGATGGCATTACTCTTGACATTGGCATTACAGCTTGACTGAGCTCCGGAGCTTGATTTGAAGACAAATAAACACTACACTAGACTTGCATGTGGACAACAGTGATTTTGGTGACTTAATTGTATTCAAATTAGCATGATAACACCATTCTTGCAATTTTTTAAAGATTTTTTTTCACTACATGTACATTATATAAAAAAACCAAAAGTTCAAAGTAAGTAGGTTAAAATGTCTGTCAAAAGTGGGTTTCCGTCTTTTTGCACCACCCTGTAGGGTTCAAAATTTTACCCTCTATGAAAGAAAAATTATTAGGTTTTCTTCTGCCATTTTCTTAGGTGCACTTAAGTGCCCTTCACTTTGAGGCAACAGGCAATAGAGGAACATAAATAGATGTATAGTAAACACAGAAATTGAGCTAAGTTGGATTTAAACCTGCAACCTTTTGAAAAAGCAGTTGGTTGGTAATTCTCTATAAATGCAAGATTTATTACTGTAAACATTTTTGATCTCAGAATTTAGTATCTGAGATTTCTGTATCTATCTTGAAATCTGTATTTGAACTCTCCAACAAGATTGAAACTCATCTTCATCAACGAAACCTTTTCAGCTGTTGATTTTGGGGAAACTGTCAAGAAACAGTTGTAAAATGAAAAATGATCATGAAAATTGACAAATGGAAATTGGAAAATGAAAACAAAATGGAAATTGCTGCAAACTGCTCGCTGAGTGGATGGACCTGAAAATACACAAATCGATAGTTAGACAGGCATGAGATTTTTCAAAATTTTGTCTGAAATCAGACTTTTCATCCAATTTTCAGATTTTTTTTTTAAATTGACAAGCTCATCCCTCGTTACTAGAGGGCCTGATTTTCAAACATGGCAGGATGTCTGTCAAAAGGAAAACAGTTCTGATCGAATCATCAATGAAAAGTTGTTTGGAGTGTTGCTCCCCCAAAAATTGCTACATGATCATGTCATCACCATGCAGGGTCTGGGGAGTAGACGCAGAAGGGCTGGACTGCGGCCAAGAGGCCGAAACCTGGCTGAGTACCTACCTCAAGAAGCCCAACCACAAACTGGTCTACTACAAGGAGGGTCGAACTAAGCTCAGGAAGCCCACCGTGCATTCCATGTGGGGGAAGAAGTTTGCTTCCAAAGATGAACTGGTGAGAGACTGAAATGCTGAGGGGAGGTCTCTAAAATCGATTGAGTTTCAGCAGTATCGTATCCAGGGTGTTTTTTTTGGGGGGGGGGTAATTAAAAATTTTCCTTGAAAAGGTAGCCAGAAGTTTTTTCCCGTCACTCAGCACCTGCAAAATCAAAATGTGAGGGTTGGGGGCCGGACAGTTGATTGGAGCGCAAGAATAGAACTTTCACACGGGTCCATTGGTCGTGACAAGGGTTGAGAGGCACATGGCTACCTTCCACCCAACCCTCCCCCCCCAAAAAAAGTATAAACATCAACATGCACAATTCATTTACTGAATAAAGTGGCATGGCTGGCATGGGTGGCTTGTGCGTAAAGCGCTTGCCTCTTACCAAGGTAACCACGGTTCAAATCCTGGCCGCGGATCCTGGCCTGGCCGTGGATCACATGTGAGTAGAGTTGTGTGTTGGTTCTCTCCTGTGCCACGAGGGTTTTCTCCGGGCCCTCCGGTTTTCCTCCCTCTGGAAATATCAAACACTTTCGATCTCAGGCTGTGCTCTGTGGTCATGTATGGGTCGATGTGGCCGGCAGCCATAGACGCCTTAAATAAACATGCCAGCGGCCTGACCACGTTGTAGCCGCGTCCTTCGCAATTCAGCATCCCAGCTGCGAGTAAGGATGATTAGCCTCCCAAATTATTATTATTAATATCAAACGATAGTTTGAATAAAAAAAGAAATGAGTTCAGGAAACAAAGAGCACCACCTACACGTAGTGTCAAATGCGGTAAAGTATTCCCCCCCCCCCCCGACTTTATAATTTGTGTACAAACAGTTTTGAAGAGCTTCGTCTATGCCTTATAATTGGCACAGAATAGAATGCTGAGAGTATGTGCCTGTAGTGCAGAGTCTGTCCCAAGTCACCACAAGTCGTCCATTCCCTAGTCAACTCACATACAAGCTATTTAATGATCTGCATTGCTATGTCCTTGATCAATCTCTTGTTGCTTCTGAACTGACATGTGAATTGACTTGCGATTGACTTTTGATTGACTTGTTTACAACTCTAATAGTGACATTCGTGCACATGACATCACAGCCAAAATGCCTTTGAGGTGTCAAAAATACAGTAAGGGTGTGAATATTTTCACAAAAATATGTTGCATTGTAAAGCTTTTCTTTTTTTTCTTTTTCCCCCTTTACAGAGGGGTTACCAGGATTTGGCTCCGTTGTTAGTGGTGACTCAAGCCTCTTTGGATGACCTGAATTCACACCTGGAAAAGCCCATCACCATGAGGAACTTCCGACCAAACCTTGTGGTGTCTGGAGCCAATGCGTTTGATGAGGTACATTCTGACGGGCGTGTCCTTTGTTTATCCTTTATGGCATGTTCTTCGTCAAATACAATGTCAAACATCAGTGTTTTGTGATCATTTAGAATAAAATCTGTTGTGTGAACTTCATACCAGAGGCACGCAGTGTGTCCCCAACATGGAACTCCCACGAGTGGTCACGGACAGGCCCGGATTAAGTGTTTCATAGGCCGTAGGCACCATGTTTCGTAGGCCCTACTCCACCCTAGGAACCAGCACCAAATTCAAATCACAATGCACTGTGCAAATCAAGCCAGGCAAAGGAGTCAATTGCTTCTCAAAAGTGGGGCTGTGGGGTGGTACGTATACATGTGTATCTTCATCGAGAACTAATTAGATGCTTTTCACCGTGACGTTTTTTTAACCGTCATGACGCGCTTAAGTTGTTTGCGTATTGCGCGTTGCATTTAGAGTACACTTTTAAAATTCAATCCATCTATTTTGATTTTGTTCTACAAACACGCACATAAATTCAAAATGTCTGCGCCCAGAGTGACTTTAAAGCGTCTCCGTGCGCAAGAATGAGGAGTTTAGCGCTCTAGTAATTTAATATAGCTCTATGTTTCAAACCCACACAGGACCTGTGGAAACACATCAGGATTGGAGACACAGTGACCTTACGCAGGACGCATGGCTGTGGAAGGTCAGAGACTAGTTTTTGTCAACAAATATTTCCAATTCATTAAAAAGAAAAGTTTTAATTGAGTACAGCAGGACCTCCCCTGAAAAGTCACATTTTCATCAATAAGGAATTGCCTCATTTTGTATTGATCACAATCTAGTAAATGCCTTAAATTTCAAAACAGTGGTACAAAGGACGAGATTATTTAGAGTTAAAATTTATGTCCTCTTTCCAGTGATACCTTGATTGTGCGTCTGTGGCCACGGATGACTGAGCATTTGTTGTTATTCCATCAAGGGTCAAAACCTGACTGGGCCAAGTTTGTGCAAAAGGGTAACTGGTATTCTGGGCATGTGGAACAGCTTAATTTAAAGACAGAAGACATCCTTTCGTTTAAAACAATTGTATTCAATTTTGACACGGTGATATAATGATAAGATAATGATTGGAGTTTGGGTGGGGTGGGGATGTGTAGGTGATGGGGTGGGGATGGGTAGGGGGAGGATGGGATGGGTGTGGGTAGGGGGTTGGGGTGGGTGGGGGAGGGGGGGGGGCGGGTCGTGGATGGGGTAAGGTTTGGGGCATGTGGTGATTGTGCTGTGTCTACATGTACATGTATATCCATTCTTGTTCTGCATTTGTGGGGACTACACGAAAGTTCTCCCATGGTAATACAAGTATGAGGACCCGAAGACGCTGTGGGGGCTGCAAAAAGGCTCCACAACTGGGTCCTAATTACCCTAGCAATGGAAAACTTCCCCATAACGCAGTGACGGCTAACCTATATACACATGTATTTATTAGGTCATCTGTTGACTTTTTATGTTGACATTTAAAAACTGACCCCTACACCCTGGCACATCAACGAGAATCCTGATCCCCTTCCATCATGCCCATCCCCAACCCTACCTTCAGCCTCCCTTCCTGCCTTCAACAGCGAGCCATGGCGGCTTCGCCGTTCTAGCATGTCTAGTCATTCAAAAGGTCTCTGACATTTGTTTGGGTTTCAGGTGTAAATTGACAACAGTTGATAATGAGACTGGCATGTACAGAAGTGACAATGAACCACTGACAACTCTTAGAAAGTGAGTATACAGAATATCTTGCCAAAACCAATTTTTGTTTTCCTTGAAGTTTCAACACAGGTAGCAGTCTTAAACCAAATAAAAATTTACTGCAAAAACTGTCAAGACAAAACTTGGACTTTTTTTTACATCCCTCTACGTGATTAGACTCCCTGGCATGATTTACTATAGGAACCATACCCATCCTGGCAAATTCCAACACCACATGGGAAACGCACATATATGCACACATATTTCTGACTTTGATTCTGGAGGTGTGCCCAACCCAATGTAAAGGACTGTCAGTTTAGGGGTACTGTACCCATCCTGACAGATTCCAACAAAACATTCCGTTGGGGTTCGATGGGTTGAGTTCTGTTGGGGTTAATATGTAATATTTTCCTTTAAACCAGTTCTTGTAGAGTCAGGAAGACCATAAGTTATAAGGTGGTTTCAAACAGTGTAGAATTCTCAAACTTTTCAGAATTTAAAATCTTCCCCATCCCAAGTTTGCTACCGCTGACCTTCAATAGAAAATGGCATGACAGACAAAAAGCTACAGGGTGAATCAAAAAAGCGGAACCCAAACCCCCAAAAATATATTTCAAATTTTAAAAAATATGTAGCACCGACAATAATAATGACTGGAAAGCCAATTTCATAAGCTACTTTTAGATGAAAAAAATTACTGAAATTGCTCAATCCGTTCAAAGAATATCACCATTTGAATGCAATGACCCTAAAATCTGTCTCGTCCAAAAAAAAAGCTATTTATTGTGTGTTTTGACTGTTTGGAGCAACAAACAAAATGACTCAGAATACTTGTCTCAACAACCGTCACCAGCTGTAGTACACAATATCTATATTATTATTAACAACCCTGTTTAGGCAAACAATATGACGTATAAAATCTACTTTTTTAAAAAGACGGGCCTTCAAAAGTCTTACTTTGTTGAATATTTTTAACGTTTAAACTGAGAATTTATCGCTGGTGATATTTGAAGACAATTGTTGTGACGACGATTCTTGAAATCGCATTTTTTTGGATGAGACAGGTTTTAGGCCAAAAAAAAAGGCTCTGGTTTCTGGTCAGCATGCGTGTTGCCGTAGCCATGCGCGTCGGCAAAATTTAAAAGTTTTTTTTTTCAATGTAAGATGATGTCTCAAAACCGTCAAACTCACTGGTTTGACTGGAATCCTGCTGCTGCACAATTTTAACGTGTTTTTAGATGGGGTTACGATCGAGTATAAGCTTTATGTGGCCTCTGAGGGCTCCCATACATTTTGCACTAAATTTAGTCGGGTACCATTTGCAGTCATCAGCTGACATTTGAAGAAAAAAAAAAGTTAAAAAAAAAAGCCGCGTCGCCGCACCACTTTTGGGGCAAGCTCCATACCAGAAACCAAAAACTTGTTTTTTTTGGGCCTGAGAGTCATTGTTTTAATGGTAATATTCTTTGAATGGATTGACCAATTTCAGTAGTTTTTATTCATTATTGTTTTGGGTGCTACATATCTTTTTCAATTTGAAATATAATTTTGGGGGTTTGGGTTTCGCTTTTTTTGACTCGCCCTGTATATGATTGTTAATCTGTTCAGCAAAGCTAGAAAAACTGAAAGATAATTAGCGGAACAGAGTCGTGTTTTAGTTGCATTTAATGCCCATCTGCACCTCCCAAGAGTCCCAATCCTATTCTGCCCAGTGGAATTCTCCCAACCTCTTTACCCTGCCCCTTCCAGACCCTTGTTGTCTCATCGCCCCCTCCTGCCAACCCCTCGCACCTAACCCCTTGACTTTATTGCCCTACCCAAAACATTCCCAGTTCCACTTTGCTCTGTCCAACCCTCCAAACTCCTCCCCTACCCCATAACAGGCCAACTTTTCCCTGGAAAACCCGACCTGTGCCAACATTTTGCCCCTGCTCTTCCCTTACCCTTTTTTTGCCTTTTCTGAACATACGTTTTATTAAACATGTAAGTTCTTTATCGTCCTTAGATCCATGTGGAAAAAATTTAACCATGCATCTAGTCTGAGTTCCACTGTTCAACGGCGCACAAGCCTGATATGTCCAAACATGCACATTTTATGCCATTCTGTGTACCAGCCAATCGTAGTTGATTTTAGAAATTTGTTGTTTTAGAAAGTTGTTGATTGGTCAATTGGCTGCCATGTTTTGGTAATACAAAATGGGTTACCGAAGACCCGATAGAAGACGCAGTCTTGTTTTGCATAAATAATGGCCAAATCTGCACTCATATCATGGATGCTTGATGTGCTGAAAGTGGCTGTTAATTCCATAGACTGCCATGAACAATGATGAACCATTATATGCATACTGTGGCGGGAATATCTGTGACCCGATCCGTAGTCCCTTTACCCAGACAACCTAGCTTAGGATCAATACCCCAGCAGCCGAGAATGCAGGCCCGTTTGGATGGAAATATACCGCCCTATACGCGTAGCGGCACTCACCCACGCCCCTCAACCTCCAAGATGGACAAGGACAGACAATTAAGTACACAACAGTCAATGACCTCAATTACTGATTGATTTATTTACACAGAATCAATGTCATATGATGGACCTCTCGTTAAATTATGATGTTAGCCTCTAATAAGTGATTGGGCTCTGAGCCTCTCAATCATCTCTACGGGTAGCCTCGCATTAGCCGCTACGGTAAGGCAGTGCTGGGCAGCACGGCGATGCCTGGCTGGGGATAGCCTCTGAATCCCGTGAACCGTACGCCTCTAGATAGCGTTCCTGGGTGTATTCCGCTTCCACCATCCCGGCCCTCGACCGGCGTTTTCGGTCGCGATCCTTCTTTGAGGTAGCGGGTAGGTGAGCGCACACTCCCGGCTCCATCCTACAATGGGCAGATAGCTGTACATCGCTCCGCCTCCAGTAGCCTCCGCGGACTCCGTGCCTCCTTATGCCAGCCTGACTCCACCGCACCACCCAGCACGCCGTCAGCGCGCGTAATAGTGTGAGCTCTGATGAGGGCTGTGTCTCCGTCTGCGTCTACATGTACGTCTCCTTCTAGCAACTGCCCCGCGGCCTCTTATATAGGGGCCCGCAGCCGCTAGCGCGCCCTCTTTGGACTCGCCACAATACTTATTATCATTGGATGTGTTTTTTTCCTCAGGTATCGCATGTTGGACAAGTCAGACCCAGACAGCAAGACGCTGGGTGTTGCCCCAATCTTTGGATCAAACGTCGCATATGACGTGTTTGGTACAGTCCAGGTAGGCGACACCGTGTATGCAGCGGTGTAAATTCAAGGCCGCAGTAAAGAAAATTGGTAGAAATAAAATCTATTCTGTGAATAACAATTTGCAAAAGCAAACTCTTATTGATGCAATGAGAAATGGACAAAAAATATATGTATTTTCAATATAATTTTCAACATGCAAAAACAAGTGAAATTGAAGTCATTATAGGTAGACATTTTGTAATACTTTAAAGTCTTCCAGTGAGTATTCAATTTAAGTCATATTTAAAGAAATCACTAATTTAAAGTGCAATTAAATGAAAGTTATTTTTATAATTAATGTAAATTTAAAATATTGTAGTTCACTCTTTTCACACTTCCGCCATGGGCATGCAGAGCCTCGATCTGGCAACTTTACACAATAAATATAGCCGGTCCAGTGATTCCTGTGTCGGGGTTCAGATCGCTGAACCGGCTATTTTGATTGTGTAAAGTTGCCAGATCGAGGCTGTGCATGCCCAATGGCGGAGCGTGAAAAGAGCAAATAATCATCAACTTGTATACAAGGTGAGTCGGAATGATCTGGACCCAAATTAAAGAAAACTTTAAAAGATATGTAGCATTTATCAAAAAATAGTGCAAATGAGATATGTTACAGGCTGGTATGTTGGACATATTTGGCGCAAGTTTCATGTATATCCATTGAACAATTTTGAAGAAAAATGTTAGCTAAGAACACCCGCTAAAAAAAAAAAATCTGACCACGGGTCCATGGTTCAACAAATTGATTGAAATCGCATACAGATGTGACTGCATTTCAAACAATGTAACTGTACTGTCACGGAGGCCCCCCTTAATGGCGAAACTATTGTGCTAGCTATTGTTAAGATCCATCATGGGGCAGTTGCTTTGTACAGTGGCCGGCACAATGCTTTTGCAATGGAAGGGGAGTCTGGGAATTCATACATTCATTCATTTATTCTTTGTTATTTTTTACCACATCTTACAAAAAAATTCATATTAGAATGTTAAATCTTTATTAAAGGATTTACGAATACATGTTCACATTCTTTCTTAAATTTAAAGATACATTTACATGTGGAAGGTAATCCCCAAAACGCAGAGCTTGTCGAGTAAGGATCCCTTTTAACACAAATGTGCGCATGAATTTTTAATGAATATAAGGAGATTTATAAATTACACAAAGGACAAGAATGAATAATTAATGCCAAATTATTATCCCAGATCAACAGAACGGGAAGAAATAGAAAGTAGTATAAATCCATTATAGCAGTTAATATGAGTGCCAGTAATTTGACAATAAAAGTTTATATTTAAATAATGAAAAGTTACGAATATTTTAATGGGAATTATGGTGAATTTCATAGCTCAGGGCCTTCTTGTATAATTGTCTTCAGTTGTCCGTGCAAATGAGTAGTGAGTTTCTCTACGTTGTCAGGTAAAATGATGATGTATATTTCATTTGCTTGATTGAATTTGGGAGTGTTCATGAGGAAGCCCTTTTTGATCGTGTTCCCTGAATGTATTTTATAAATTGTAAACTGTTGGATGGGATGGTGCCAGACTATTTATGCGTTCCAAACTAACTTCAATTTAAAAATTATTATTACTTAAATCACTATTACCCTTGAAGATAATTTTTGAATTAAACATTTCATAACAAAAATCAGATACCAGGCTTCTTGTCATATTTCAGTGGCTCTTGTGTCAAGCATACTTTGTGTGTTCTTTTCAAAAGGCAATTTTTTTGGGTTGGGGGGGGGGGGGGCGGGTGGTGTGCCTAGATAGACCACACTACCCCATGAGGGTTTGACTATAATCCATGCTGTGACTGCTCCACCAAACTGTCGTACAACAGTCCTGCTTGAGGTCATTCATAGGATGAAGGGCGCCGATGAAGACTTGCGTTGCAGGTATGATCTCAGATCTTTATATAATATCCTATCACGGAGGTCATCTTTCTCAGATGTCATAATATCTCTTTTGTAACTCCACATTGTTCACATGATGTTACCACAAACCCGCCATTCTGTGTTCATATCCACCATGCAAACATTAAGTCCCAGATGTCATAATCTTGGAAAGTCTTCTCATTTTGGACTTTCCGTGTTATTTTATCACGGAATTGCAGAATTGCGGATAGTCATGCATGCCCCATGCTCTATAAAAACATTTTTAAAAATACGTTTTACTCTACCAAAATTTAAATTTGTATTTTTCGTTTCAACAAAAAAAAGCATTTCCACCCGATTTGGGGCATCTGCTCACCTCTGAAAAGGGACTTTCATTTGTTGTTTTATGCTGCTTGACTTTCCTATTTAATCGTTAGTGTTGTTTTAGTTTTTACATTGTCATTTCTCGAGAAATTAGGATGACAACGTACCTTTGTAGCTTGACTTGTCGTATTATTTCACAAACATTACTTTTCACAAAATGGGAACAAATGGTTTTCACAAAATGGGAACAGCGAAAAAATTGTATACTAATGCCCGATTTTGAGATGTTGCACAAGAAGATAGAGGGCTAGGGCAGTGTTGGCAAACCAATCGATAACAAAAATATCTTCATCTTCATGATATCCGTTTAATGTTAACTTAATTACTCGGAGGTTGAAATCTGTATCTGTCCAAATTAAAACTGGAGAAGCTCACGCGCCTGCCTTTTTGAATTGTTTGTTTTGCATTTTGCCTCTTTGTATTTTGAGAATACACCATTGTAGTTGTCATTGTTACGTAACGATCTGTCTGTTTAGCACGCGGCTAAAGAGGTTGCAATTTCCAAACCGATCAGACACACAGTGGGCCATAAATTATTCCCCGAAATAAACACCGCCTAAAAAGAAACTCCACACTAATTGGAGGGGTCATAATTTTGAATCTGATCGTTTTATGCTAACGTCATTTATATAAACCTTTGGGGAATGTTGTTTGCTACCCCGTTTGCTTACACTGTAAATCATCCAATATTGACAACGGTATAATGAAATTAAAATTTAAAATGATACAGTTTGAAAAGTTGCAAATTTAAAGAATACGCTAGCGGAAATTGCTGCTTGACAATGTTACACTGCCTAAAACGCACGGCAGAGGGAATATCAATCGCACAGTGCTTGCACGCATGGGAGCACGCACTTTGAATTACCCGCGCATTGTTCGGTCATGTACTGCGCAGTCGCTGGGCCAAAATACGGGCATGTCATTGGACGATTAACAGTCTTTGGTACCAAACGGGCATGGGCGTCGCCAGGATTTTTTTCGGGGGGGGGGGGAGCAAAGCACATTTCCTCCGAAAATCCTTGTATTTTCTCTAGCATATTCTCAATTTATCATTGTTTCGAGGGTGGGCGGGGGGACATGTGCCTACCCCACCCTATTGACACCACTGATCTCTATATAAAGACTGGATAGCTAATAAAGAGCCGCACAACGAATGCATTTGACGCCATATTGGTGAGACCGGCTGGTGATCTACAAAGGACAAGTTGCCGTCTTTATAGACAGCATGATTTCTTTTGTAACGTCGCGGTTCACTTGACTTATATTTTGGCCACCACCACTGACCAACTGACCAAGGTTTACTACAATTTTTCTAACGTCGTGGTTACTTTTATAATGCCGCAAATCACTTTTTCGGCGTTTTTGAAATAATAATCACTACGGAAATGTGTCCCTTTTAGAACATCATAATATGTGTACGTGACCAAAATGCGCGTCAACTGTTGATACAACGCGCGCGTATTTACGCGTAGAACGTTCGAATTATACGCGGCCATCTTCGTGAGACCGGGGGCGAATCGGTCAATATGCAAAGTCTACTGTGTGAATGTTGTATGCATATCCGCTATCCAGTGATCAGTGGTACGTTCTCCTTTCGTGCCTTTACAACATTGATCTCCATACGTGACGTTACGTGCAAAGGACGCGAGCGCATTATGGGCGCGCCCGGCGTGCAATCTTCGAAATGCGCGCGCAGTACGCTACGCTATGAATAGCCAATCAGCGTCATTTACGTCATCATCACGGCCGGGGGTTAGTGAAAGGAACGCGCACGCGCCCATGGAGTCGAGGCTGCCTTACTCCCACACCCTCAATTGCCCCTTAGATGCCAATATCCTAATCGTCTCCACCGCTATGATCATGGCCTTGTTGTATATTATTTATTAAGCGCCTTCAGCACAAAAAGAATTTCGCACTCGGCGAGTATATATGTTGCTCATTTCTTAATAGCTTTTCATGGCCTTCAAAAGCGTCATCCATGCGTAGCTTTACTTAACGTTAAAAAAAAAAGTAATTTGAAACTAGGAGGTAGATGATTTATTTGCAAATTCTGTTGTCTGCAGTCTGTAACTTTCATGAATAGAGCATGCAGCTACACAAAACAGATTTTATTTATTGAGTGGGGTTTTTTTTGGCGGCGGGCAGTAAGTTTTCCGGAACGAAGTCGATTGTTTCCCAATGTGTTATTTTGTGAAGTTTGTTGAATATGAATTTTTAGAATTTTGTCCGCGTTTTGGTGAGCAAATTGGCACTAGCTGGCGGAGTTTTGAGTTGGAGAATGTGGACTTATTGATTTGCCCGCGATTTGGGGTTCAAATTAGCTGGCGGAGTTTTGAATTAGTTAAAGAATGTGTTTTTTATAATTTTGTCCGCGATTTGGGGGGACAAATTGGCACTAGCTGGCGGAGTTTTGATTTGAAGAACGGGTGGATTTCTAGATTTCTAGTTGGTAAAGTGTGCGGGTAAGATGCCCAAACAAAATAGTAAAACAGACGAACTTCAAATTCATTAAAACGGGTATTTCTTCCTATGCAAAAGGAATGTGTTGCTTTTATTCCAGGAACATTGACTTTCATTTTGATTGTATTTATCGCGTGTAAAGACTTTATTGTTTCGGTCAATTTTTTATATTTAATAGTTGATGATTTCTCATGAAGTTAAATTTCAAAATATAAAATATCATGAGAAAATCACCTGGTATTTCTCGGGTTATTGCTAGAGAAATTTTTCCCAAGTGTTTTAACGCCCGAGTGTTTTATTTTTCAATGACCGTTGACTTTCATTCGGATTGTATTTTTCGGCGTAAACATCGTATCTCCCAAAGTTACATCAGATTGACAATCTATAAATGGATAAATAGCTCAAATTCCCCCCAACTATGAATGTGTATTACAAGTAGGTCATGTTGCATTGCATTTTAATGAAGGATTTTAAAACAGTTGCCGAACTAAAGGTTTTCCATGCAGTACTCACTAGACGCCCCAGCATCGCAATCAATGTTAGACTTTCTGTTTTCACCGTTTAACCGTGGCGTTTTCTGAGCTGAAATTGCATCTATTTGGGAGGAATTATTACATGATAAGGCTATCCGTGAATTGTCATTCGCATGCACGGGACCTGTCTTTTCCCATGGAGTCCGATACGAACATGAAAAAAGGCTTCTCCATGCAGACATCTATCGGCGGTTGTGCACTGTACCCCGACTCGTTTACGTGAAAAAAAAACGACACGGGCCTTAATTATGGGCATAATGTAATAACCAACGGATAACGTATCAACAGCCGATAATGTCACGATTGGTGGGATAATAAAGTAGCAATTACGAGCAAAGTATGCAATTACTCAAAGTAGTCAGGCAGCTAGTGAATGGATATGGACATTCCGGACAAAAGCGCCAATTTTTTTTCATACATGCTCCTCAATGCCTTAGCTTTCAAGTTTGATAGGAACCAACTTAACTTAATGATTGGTGGGATAATAAAGTAGCAATTACGAGCAAAGTATGTAATTACTCAAGGTTCCACTATTTGTCAAGTAATTTTGGTATGTGCTCGGCGAGGCGTTTATCATTTATAATAAAATGGTGGCTAATTCCTTTCGATGGGAAACTGTTTAACCTTGCATTATTGTAGACTTGATGACAAGTCGTTAGATAGTCGTATTTTGTCCGTTAACTTCAGTCGAACTCCATCGGCGCGGCTGGTATAAGACGCATAATCGGCCGGGTTGCGACAAATTTAACGACTTGACGATTACGTTCTCGCACTGTTGCGCAAGCAGCGTAATGCGTATGCAGTGCGTTTTTGCGATGAGATCCAATCAGGCTTGCAGACGGCTTTAATTCCAAATTTTGTTTGTATTTTGTTCGACGGTTTCTCGTGAATATTTCAGTGTAAATGATGTGCTGGTGTTGCTAATCGGTATGCGCTGCCACTCAGTATACGGTGTTAAACAATGAAGACGTATTAAAAGGCCGCTAAGTCCTGAAATCCCCGACAATTTCTTGTTATGAATTGTTTACTTATCCTATTTCATTGCAAACATCTGGTTGAAAGGAAACCAACCTAAAATGTTCTATCCAGCAAAATGTATTATTGAATTCAGTCGTCGTTTGTATTTGGTGTGGCTATGGCAACGATGACTACTGTAGCCATGGTAACGGACTGAACCACTGTTGACAAGTGCAACACGTTGCTCATATTGCTGTTCCATAGCGCGGAGTTGTCATTTCGAGCCAGCCAGTGATTCTCGCCGTTTCACAGACAAGTCCGGTCGCAGAAATATTGACACTTGTAAACTTGAGTGACTGAAAGCGAACGTTTTGAATTGTCCGCTCATCATGGCGTTTATGTCCGGATTGTTTGTCATTGAGGTTGCCATTTTATCGATGAGGGCTCTCTCTGAGTCAGATTTCTGCCCCTCTCGGTCCCGTGTCAAACCCTCTTGCCCGCCAGAGTGGCAATTGTGGGGGAGCGCGTGCTATCGCCTCACTTCCTCAAAGTATAATTGGGATGACGCCATGACAGCTTGCCAAGACGTGGGAGGCAAGATGGCCGCTCCTCGCTCGCTCGAGGAACTGAACTTCATGGTAGAACTGGTACGAAAGGTGGACAGTCCATACTACCGGACCTGGATTGCTTGCAATGACAGAGATGTTGAAGGAACTTGGGAGTGTGACGGTCAGGAAGGAGGCGAGCCCTTCCTGAAATGGAATTATGGGGAACCAAATGATAATGGCAATCAAGATTGTGTTCAAATATCCGCATTTCATTATGACGGGATGGATGATGCAGGCTGTGGGAAGCTGTTCAGGGCCTTTTGTGTTCGTCAGGCAGCTTGCACTCATCTCATAACCCAACCCCGTCAATACTGCGTCTCTACCGACACTCACGGCCGCATTCTCAACTCAACCTGCCTCCTCGACCACAGCATCCGAGAGTTTATCAGCAAGGGCGTGGTCGCCTGTGGCTCACCCTGCGCCCAGGAGCCCGGATGCCGCTCTTTCAACATCAAGAAAACCGAAGACGGAAAGAAAATATGCCAGGTGAACAACAGCACAGAAGACTTATTATTTCTGTCCTATGTACTCAGAAGAAATGTGCTCTGACTAGTCATTACAATAATAGAACAATTTCAGAGATGCACTCTACGAACTTGTGAATTCGGACTTGGTCTTAGATGATGAAACATTCGCGAGACACTTGTCCTTAATATTTAGATCACGTGGCAACTATTTCATTTTCTTTCGTTCTGAAGAGAAACAAAAGCTTTGGATGTACTTTGAAGTAAGGAAGATGAATGTTTTGCTCTTTTGCGAACAAGAAAAGGATTAGATTAAAAACATTTTGAACTGATGAAAATCGTTTGATTTTTGTTCACAGATTACATAACAATTTGAAACGCTAATGCATTGTACATTCGCAAGTAGTGCTAGTTTTTGCAATGTTTGTATTTGTCAAAACAGCAACAAAAATATAAAATCGATTTTATCGCTGATTTAATATATCTTAAATTATTACCGTCGTCATTTTCTTCACTGACCAAAAAAGTAATTCGATATTACTTATGACGTGTGTCATAAAACAGTCCTTTCAATGTGGCTGCCCCTATGCTTTTAAAAACTGAATTTCATCAGTTTTGGAGCGAATCAGAATTTCTCAAGTTGTTCGATATGTACAAATCACATTTTTTTTTGAAAATTTCAAATCGCTGGCACGATAACATGAACACATTTAATTCGTTCGATTTTACATAAGTTTGCAGAACGATGAATCTGTACCGTGTTGCTTTATCAAATCCAGTATGTCGAATAAATTAATTATTGGTGTTGTAGGTAAAGGACAAACTACTCTCATTAATTTTTCATTCTTTGTGATACCTTTGTTAGGATTTTATAGCAACTTAATTTTAAGCAATCTAACTAGATATAATGGTGACGGGGGAGGGCGTGGTCAGGTGATCTGCACGTGACGTGATGGCATGACCCGACGTGCACGGATCTCGAATTGTAAAGCCATGCTGTGTATGGACACATGAAATAGGCCGGTTCTTTTGACAAGGGCGGATCAAGAACCACATTTTCCGTGGGGGGGGAGGGGGGCTGGCGAGCTGGATGTTTCTTAATTTATAAATAGTCCTGAAGCCCATCGCCATTTTGAAAACGGTGTCAGTCTACTCTCAATTGCAAAATAGAGTGCTTTAAGGGCCCCAATTTCATACAAATTTCTCAGAAATACAAGCTCATGGTCCTGTGCACCGCTACCACCCTTATTTTTTACAAACCCTCGAGTTCATGGTCCACAATATTCTCAAATACTGAAGAATTTGAAGGTATGCATATCCGGATTTGGCCGGCGTGGCAACTTCGGGCCGATTTACTGGCCTGCACCCTTTAAAGGAGCGAAGTCTTGAAAAATTCCCCCAAACCATTTGTGCGGCATGAGGAAGGATGGATAACTTATATTTCATCAAAAAATTGGGAGAAAGAAAATCTCTGAGTTCGATATCTGGCCTGAAAACAAGCCCTCTGTTTGCGGCTGCCTTGCTGTAGGGCGCCACCAATGTGAGTAAATCATGCAGTTCTAGCTCCTTCCAACTCCCAAATAACCCCCCCCCCCTTTCGCCAAAAAGTGTTGTAATTGGATGATGGTCTATCGGCCCCTTTCAGATTAGGGAGCATTTGTTGCGGAACCGCCATTGTTGACCCCTTTGTAACGCTGCCCCATCCCCCAGGTCACGCCCCCTGAACAAAACACTGTCGTGGCATATAAAGCGCATGCGCACCGCCATATTGACAAAGAACTCTTTAAGAGTGCAGACCAGTAAATAAACTGCCATAGACCCCAATGATAAATGCCCCCACTTCAGAAACTCAGAAAAAATTCTCGCAACTCTCCAAGTTGTTCGAGACACACATCAAATTAAAGCTTATTCCGTCATCTTTCATTTTCTTTTCAATATTGAAGATGAGGTAAGGACAACGTATTATAAATTGAAAATAGAATACGGGATGGGACAAATATCTTAGTTTTCTAAGAATGCCAAGTTTGCGAGATAATGATTTTCTGACAATGATTTCTCCACGTTAAATTATTATCAATAATGACACCCAAACATTTACAGGAATCAAGCCACAGGTCTAACTGTTACCAGACAGGTTCCGAGTGATACTGTAGACCCTCACTCTCCAACCTCGTTCCCCATGGGTACGATCTTGCTACGCCATGTTGTTTCCCGTCATGCCTTGCGCGATCTTAACCCCTGGAATTGTGTAATTTAAATGTGTCAAAATATGGCACATTATAATTAGGCTGCAGTTTACCGTTTTACGTGCCTACGCCATCTTTAAATGTTAAAAGTTGTGATTTTGAAGAATCAATCCTTTCAAACATAACGTTTTGACGTTGCGTTATTTAGCAAAGATTTGTATTAAATGTACGTACCACTGATTATAAAGAAATGGATAGCTAATAAAGAGCCGCACAATAAATGAATTTGACGCCATATTGGTGAGACCGGCTGGTGATCTACAAAACACAAGTTGCCGTCTTTATAGACAGCATGATTTCATTTGTAACGTCGCGGTTGACTTGACATTTATTTTGGCCACCACCACTGACCAACTGACCAAGGTTTACTATAATTTTTCTAACGTCGTGGTTACATTTATAATGCCGCAAATCACTTTTTCGGCGTTTTTGAAATAATAATCACTACGGAAATGTGTCCCTTTTAGAACATCATAATATGTGTACGTGACCAAAATGCGCGTCAACTGTTGATACAACGCGCGCGTATTTACGCGTAGAACGTTCGTATTATACGCGGCCATCTTCGTGAGACCGGGGGCGAATCGGTCAATATGCAAAGTCTACTGTGTGAATGTTGTATGCATATACCGCTATCCAGTCTATATATAGAGATCAGTGATTGACACCCGTGCAGCTCAGATGCCCATTTTGTTATAATATGACTTCACACCTTTTTTTGTTCCCCTTTTCTTTCCCCCTTTTTTCTTTTCCAGTGGGGGGGGGGGGGGGGGGGGGGGGACCCCTGCCCCATCCTGGCGACGCCCATGCAAACGGTGTATCAAAATGAAGCTCACGAAATTCCCAAAAGGTCTATATGAATGACGTCAATGAGTGTGCGCTTTCTTTTTTGCGGTGTTTAGTTCGTCCATATAGCCAAAACCTATTGTTGAGGCCAGTCTTCTGCGCGCTTCTGGTTTGCGTACTGCGCGCACTTACGCGTTCTTAATCAGTTTCAAATGTTACGCGTGGCAACTACTTGTTTTCAGTTCGTTCGCCACGGCCAGCTAGACAACAATTTTCTTTTACCGTTCTCTATTGTTCTCTCTCATTTTCATGGAGTTGTTCATTTTCTAAGTTGAATCTACATGTACATCTGTGATGCCTGTTCTGAGGTATGTAATGACACCTGCAGTATGAACAATAAACCAACTGTTAATCATATAGACAGGTTTCTAGCATCGATAATTCTAGAAACTATAGGTCCGATTGAGATCGCGTTATAGGAAATCGGCGGCCTGTGGCAAAATGTGGGGAAATAGAATTTGAACCCTACATTTTAGTAAAAGAAAATTGATTATGAACTGTAGATCTACTGAATGTGCTACCCAGTTTCTTCGTGAACATTTGTAGAGTGTAGCTATAGAACTTTGAAGTAGAATTACTGCGGGTTCCCTGTATTTCTTCACCCGTACCGGACAATTTCGGGCATCGATAAATCGTCTTGCCTTGATGATGTCGCCATAGAGGGCGCTATATATTTACCTACCGGTTTTATGATGCCGTAATATCATTTCTGTTATATTTCACGTCGGAGAACATCAAAGAATGATGGATGCCAAAGATAGTGTTTCTCAAATTTCACCCATGAGTAACCGAACATCAAGTACAGTTCATGTGAAAGCAGCCGCAAAACGAGCTGAACTGTTATGTAGGCAACGTCTACTGACAAAGAAACAAGAATTAGAATCTAGACATCTTGCTGTGCAACAAGCTAGGCAACAGGAAGAATTTAGACTGCAGAGAGAAAAGGAAAACTTCGACCTGCAGGTAGAAATAGAAGTTTCTGAAGCCAGCATTAGTGCTATAGAGCAATATGAAGATGAGTTTGATCAGAAAATCAGATTCAAGTTGCCCGACGAAATTCCTCATCCGGCGGCATGTGCAAGTTCTGTGTTGGGTGATAGAATTGAAGCTGGAGCATCTGAAAGGGTCTCTTCAAATGAAGAGCCCAACAAGATTGAAAATCCTTGGTCGATACCGCAAGACTTTCAAGGTAAAGTAGATGAAGTCGAAAACCGGATGCCAGAATTGACTCCGCAGGTGAATATAGGCCAGCTACACAAAGATTGTGCTCAGCTGGATCACCATGATGTGCCTGAGCCAACTACAGCACAACGGTATCAACCACATCTGCAGCCCATTTCCGATATCGGTGAGCTGACGCAACTTTTGAATAAGCAACAAGTTAGAGCTGCGTTACCAGCACAACAGATAGAAATCTTCAATGGCGATACACTGAAGTACACAAGATTCATCAAGTCCTTTGAGTTCGGTGTCGAAGACAAGACCACAGACGGTAGAGATAGACTGAATTATCTTTGCCAATATACCTCCGGAGAGCCCAACACTCTGGTAAGCAGTTGTTTACATTACCATGATGCTGAAGAGGGCTACAGCAAGGCTAAAGAGTTGCTAGCCAAAAGATACGGCAACAGTCACAAGATTGCTCAGGCGGTTTTAAACAAAGCCAATAATTGGCCTGACATCAGAGCAGAAGATGCTACCGGCCTGAATAAGTTTTCGATATTCTTATCGGAGTGCAAGAACATGACAAGTTCTGTCAGCGCTCTCAGTGAATTAAACCACACCCAGAGCATCCAGATGTTGGTCGAGAAACTTCCGTACAGACTGCGCAGCATGTGGAGAAACAAAGTGTATGAAGTGGAAGAAGAGAAAAAGAGATGCATTGTCCTTGACGATCTGGTGAGTTTTGTAGATCGACACTCTCAGATACTCTCCAACCCAACGTTTGGAAGGCTACGTGAGACTCCCCACCTAGGCAAGAATAACATTGGAGAGAAGAACAAAAGAGTTCAAGTCAAGAAAGAGGCATTTGGCACCGCTGTGAATAGCCATGCAGAGAAAGCAAGGCAGAAGAAGTCTTGTCAATTCTGTGGCGGTAACTCCCATCACGCTACATTAGAATGCATGAAATTCGCGCAGCTGAGTTGGAAGGACAAGTCGTCATTCTGTTTCAAACACGGATTGTGTTTTGGCTGCCTGGGGGTCGGTCATACGAAATCAAGCTGTAAACAGAGAGAGTTAAGTAAATGCAGCAAATGTCCAGGCAACCATCCAACAGTTCTGCATAATGATGAGAAAATCACTAAGACGTCCCACCTAGCGCAGAACTCTCAGACCCAAGTCACAACGGGGTGTGCGGGTGTACTAGGGGCTGGGGCGAATTTGCACGCATCTGGCAGTCCTCGAATGGCTATCGTACCCGTCTTAGTAAAGGCATCTTCGAGTCATGAATGCATTGCCACGTACGCATTTCTAGACAACGGATGTGGAGCAGTTTTCGCAGACAGCGAGATTTGCAGAGCACTGAAGGTGAGAACAAGGAAGAGAAGTATAATACTGAAAACCTTGAATTCAGAAGAAGTTGTCGACTCTGCTATCGTGATAGATAGACTCCAGTTGGGAGGGATGATAGAGGAGAACAGCTTCATCGACCTACCTGATGTGTATGTCAAGAATGACATTCCTGTGTCGCCAGAAGACATGGTAACGAAAGATGATCTGCAGGAATGGACCCACCTGTCACACATACAACTACCACAACTGTGCAGCCCAGCGATTCCAAGGGTAACCCTAATCATAGGTATGAACGTACCAGCTGCTACAACACCAATTGAGGTCATCAGAGGCGACTCGGGAGATCCTTATGGTGTTAAGACCCCTGTGGGATGGGTCATCTATGGAGTGCCCGGCAGACCCAAATCCCAACTTGATGCGAACTACATCAACGTACTAGATGGCTTGACCAACCTGGAAAATCAATACAAACACTACATGAACTTAGACTTCAATGAAAGGTTGGGCGAAAGCCAAGATGAAAGTGCACTGTCAAGGGAAGACATGCGCTTCTTAGACATTGTCAAAGAAACTACAGAGTTTCAAGGCGGTCACTATCAGATGGCACTACCACTACAGCGACCCACAGTAAGAATGCCTGACAACCGCTCGCTGGCAGAGAAGAGAGCTGTTCAACTGAAGCGGAAGTTCGATAAGAACCAAGAGTTCAAAGAGAAATATGTGCAAGCTATGGAAGATACCATAGGCAAGGGTTATGTTGAAAAGGTTCCCGACAGCCAGAAGTTCAGAAGTGATGGTAAAGTCTGGTTCATCCCACATCACGGTGTTTACCAAGTTCAGAAGCAGAAGATGAGAGTGGTGTACGACTGCGCCGCAGAGTATGGTGGTGTTTCCCTGAACCGACAGCTGTTACAAGGGCCAGACATGACCAATGGTCTCACAGGTGTGCTGATGAGATTCAGACAAGAACCAGTTGCCGTCAAAGCTGACATAGAGGCAATGTTCTACCAAGTGAGGGTGAGATCGGAAGATAGAGATCTCCTAAGATTCCTATGGTGGCCAGGTGGAGATCTGAGTCGTGAATTAGAAGAGTATAGAATGACAGTGCACGTCTTTGGTGCAGCATCGTCTCCCAGCTGTGCCAATTATGCACTACGTAGGACAGCTACAGACAACGAACAGCGCTATCGCTCGGAAGTTACGAATGCTGTCGGGAAGAATTTCTACGTCGATGACTTTTGCAAGTCAGTACCAGATAAAGAAGAGGCCAAGGTCATCTCGAGGGAAGTGACAGACCTGTTAGCTGAGGGTGGATTCAGACTCACCAAGTGGGTCAGCAATCAGCGAGAAGTCTTACGGTCGATTCCTAGGGAAGAATGGTCTAAGGAGGTAAAAGGCCTGCAGATTGATCAAGATGTTCTTCCACCAGAGAAAACTCTTGGAGTCTTGTGGTGTATGGAGAGCGACACCTTCGGCTTCGAGATCAATGTGAAAGTTCGTGAACCCACACGTCGTGGTATACTATCCATTGTGAGTTCAGTTTATGATCCGTTGGGAATGGTCAGTGCTGCCATTATGCCTGCCAAGTTGCTGCTTCAGGATCTATGCAGATTGAAGTTGAACTGGGATGAGAAGATTCCTCAAGAACACCTGCACAAATGGAACCTTTGGCTGATGGACCTACCCAAACTAGAATGCATCTCAGTAGATAGATGCTTCAAGCCTGAAGGCTTTCAGGATCCTGTTAGTGTGCAGATCCATCACTTTGCCGATGCCAGTGAGAAAGGGTATGGCGTCGTCAGCTACCTGAGACTACAGAACAGATATGGAGATGTTCATTGCTCCTTTGTTACATCCAAATCAAGAGTGACCCCGTTGAAGCAGCAATCCATACCCAGACTTGAACTTACAGCAGCCACTGTAGCAGTGAGAGTACACAACTCGATAGTTAGAGAGCTGGAGATCCCTGTTGACCAGACTTTCTTCTGGACAGACAGTATGACCGTCATCAAGTATATCTGCAATGAGACGACAAGGTTCAAGTCTTTCGTGGCTAATCGACTTACTGTGATAAGGGACAGTTCTCATCCATGTCAGTGGAAGTATGTGAGATCAGAACAGAATCCAGCAGACGACTGTTCAAGGGGACTTCCCATCGACAAGTTCATTGCCAATAGGAGATGGTTCCGAGGACCAGAGTTTCTCTGGCATGCAGAAGCAGATTGGCCTTCAACTTGCGTGACCGAGGAGCCAGAAGTAGATCGGGACCCAGAAGTAAAGCGTGTCATGGCGGCAGTTCCGATTGAAAATCTGCTGAGTCGGTCAAATGCAGTTAAGAAGCTGATAGAATACTACTCAGATTGGAATCGTCTGAGGAGAGCTGCAGCATGGTGGCTACGGTTAAAGAGAATCCTGAGAAAGAGAAGCAAAGAAGAATTCAAACATGACGCTGTGAACAACCTCACATTGGAAGAAATAGAAGAAGCTGAAGTGAGTATCTTGAGATGGGTTCAACATGAGGCATTTCCTCACCAGATAAAGAGGCTTCAAGAAATGAATGATGGCCCTCAAGATCTCACAAGGGAATCTCCAAAACAGCAGAAAGTGGATAAGCTGTTAGACCAGTTAGACCCAGTGATGCACAAGAGCTTGATGAGGGTCGGCGGTAGGTTACAAGCCGCTCAACTCCCAGAGGAAGCCAAGCATCAGATAATCCTGCCACAAAGGTGCCACGTGACAGACCTGATTATGCAACATACACACCAAAAGATTCACCACCAAGGCAGAAATCATGTACTTGCAGAGCTGCGCCGGAGATATTGGATTTTGAAGGCAGGAGTGGTTTTGAAGAGTGTGTTGAAGAGGTGCGTGATTTGCAAGAAAGTCCAAGCTAAATTGGGTCAGCAGAAGATGGCAAACTTACCCGCTAACAGGCTGCTATCTGAGAAGCCAGCCTTCACTAGCACCGGAATAGATTACTTTGGCCCCTTCAATATCAAGCAGGGCCGCAACATAAAGAAGCGGTATGGAGTAGTATTTACCTGCTCGACCAGCCGAGCAGTTCACATTGAGATTGCAGAGAGCCTAGACACAAGCTCGTGCATAAATGCAGTGAGACGCTTCATTGCCAGAAGAGGAAATATAAAAGAGTTGATTTCCGACAATGGTACCAACCTCGTGGGTGCTCATGCAGAGTTGAAAAAGGCGATGAGCGAGTGGAATCATGAAACTCTCGAGAAATTCACAACTGATCGTGGTATCACCTGGAAGTTCAACCCGCCAGCAGCTTCACACTTTGGCGGCATCTGGGAACGCCAAATCCGTACCATTCGGAAGATACTACAAGCCATGTTGAATGAGCAGCATATGAGAGTGTGTAGAGATGATCAGGAACAGCTCAGGACCTTGATGTGTGAAGTTGAGTACACAATTAACAGTAGACCGTTAACCCATGCGTCTGATGATCCTAAGGATTTGAACGCCATCACTCCCAATGATTTGCTCTTGCTGAGACCGAGCAGTCTATACGTCGCACCACCTGGTGTTTTCTCAGAGAAAGATCAGTATGCGAAGAGGCGATGGCGCCAAATGCAGTATTTGGCAGATCTGTTCTGGAAGCGATGGTCTAGAGAATACCTGATGGATCTTCAACAGCGCCAAAAATGGTTGTACCCTCAGAGGAACCTACACCCTGGTGATGTGGTGTTAGTTGCTGACAATCAAGCACCGCGCAGTTCGTGGCCCCTTGGATTAGTGGAAAAAACCTATCCTGACAAGAATGGATTGATCAGGAGTGCTGAGGTAAAAACAAGAACGGCTCTTCTGGTGAGACCGGTCACGAAGCTTTGCCTTCTCCTTGAGCAAGAAACTTCAGTTCTGAAGGATCACAATGAGCCATTGTGTAATGCACAACAGTTATAGACACTTTGAAGAGACGAGTCCCCGGCGTCTAAACTGGGACACCTAACTGCAGGGTTTACCCTAGAGTTGGGATGGGTTGCTGGGAACCCAAGTCAGATTAAAAGCAAGACTGACTTTAAGGGTCCTTTCAAGCTGTTGCTTAAGGATACCAACCAGACAGTGGATCTTCACAAGGGAGACCTTCAATGTTCTACAGCCATCATTTCACCTGGAACACCTGTCAGTTCGATGCAGTGAGATTTAGTCTTCGCGGATGGAGCTGCAGGTTCTGAAGCCAAATTCTACTTGAAATCATCGCAAGACGATTCCGGACATTCGACGAACTGTACTCATCCTAATGGAAGTCTCCGTGAATGTTATGTCTTTTAAAGTAATTTAAGAATGTTCAGCATACGCTGTACAGTTATACTCTACTTGTTGAAAAGACATTGTTCTACTTAGTACAAGTGTTTGCCTTTTTCCAAGTTGTTAGATGTGTCCTTTTTGTTTTGATGAAATCTCACTTTCTTAAAGCTTTTCTTGTGAAGCATGCAAAGACTGATGTTATGATAACTTATAAACTTGTTTGATGAGTCTTTATTCTTATTGTTACAGGGATGCATGAATAGACACCATTTGCTGGAGTTACACCTGTGTGCACTCTGTATTCAGTGCTTCGGTTGACAAGCATCTAGTATTCTACAGGTTTCTCTTTAAAGCAGAAACGATTGCTGCAACTAGTTCTATTTTTAAAGTGTGTTTAAATTAGTGCCTGAGTCTTTTATAGTTTTCATGATTTGAGGTAATTGTATGTTCGTTACATAACAATTAAGGGGCTGGAATGTTGAGGCCAGTCTTCTGCGCGCTTCTGGTTTGCGTACTGCGCGCACTTACGCGTTCTTAATCAGTTTCAAATGTTACGCGTGGCAACTACTTGTTTTCAGTTCGTTCGCCACGGCCAGCTAGACAACAATTTTCTTTTACCGTTCTCTATTGTTCTCTCTCATTTTCATGGAGTTGTTCATTTTCTAAGTTGAATCTACATGTACATCTGTGATGCCTGTTCTGAGGTATGTAATGACACCTGCAGTATGAACAATAAACCAACTGTTAATCATATAGACAGGTTTCTAGCATCGATAATTCTAGAAACTATAGGTCCGATTGAGATCGCGTTATAGGAAATCGGCGGCCTGTGGCAAAATGTGGGGAAATAGAATTTGAACCCTACACCTATGGACCAAGCAATCATCCACGTTTGCCCGCCCAATAAGACAAATGTTTTTCACAAGAACTGTTAAGGTAGCCGAATGGCCTGGTGGTTAAATTCGACGTCCATGGATAGCGGGGGCCCTGGTTCGAAATCAAATCCCCATGATGTACGTGTAGGCAACATTTTCAAAATGGTCATTGGCTTCAGGACTCTACTCAAGTTTAGGGGTGATCCTCTTTGGATGGAATTTCCTCCCAAAAGTCATTTCTTATCCCACAAAACTTAAACAGAAAAAGAAAGATGATGAAAGAAGCTTTAATTTGATGTGTATCCAAATACCTTGGAGAGTTATGAGTATTTTTCATAATTGTCCGTCGGAACTGGGCGTAATACAATGCAATAATCATTGAGGTCTATGGCAGTAAACTGGTCTGCAACGTAAATTTATAAATTTATTAGTGTTCCACAAAGTACCCCCTCTGTTGACCATGTACAAAATTCACAGGATCCTAGCCTGGTACCGTAACCCTGAAGCCTAACGTACATGTCTTTTAAAGGGTAGTAGATCAGATACCAAACGTTATATTTTCAGTAGCAAAAATTGAGGGGCGAAACAACACAAGTTTTTCCAAGACAGGCACAAATGATTCTTAAACAACCATCGAATTTCTGATTTAGTGCATATTTACACAGCATACAACACCCACTTCCCGCAAGTGTCTTAGAGCAGTTTTTCAGAACGCACGGGCTTCAAGGAATGACGCTATTTTGAATGAGCGACAATGCACGATGCTTATGAAGAAAAACCAATTTTGGAAAAACTTCCTTTGCAGATTGAGTCCATAGCTTGTCATGGTGAGTTCGTTATCATGTTCATGTGCCTTGTAATTTGTATGATGTGCTGTTTATTGCAGTGGTGGAAAGAAATGAATGACGTTTAAATCATCATCATTGTCATAGGTGCTTGCGTTTTGGAGATACTACAATGACAATTTAAACACGTTGTTAAACGTGTTAAATGTCACAATTCATTGAAAACATTCTGTCATTTTTAGTGTCAACTTATTCACTGTGGCTATGGTTACCCACTGTATAGACCCACTAGTGTGGCCGTCGGTATGCTGTGCTGAACCTAAGGCCACACACCGTGGTCCGCGCACTACTGAGGACGTTTTCATAAAATTTGCAGGGAATTTCTTACATATGGTATTCTACGATGTCCCATCTATCACTTCTGGGACGCTTAGGTGTAATGATGTTCAATTTTCCGAGATATTCTTGAATCTTTCTGGAGCCCATATGCACTCGTGAAACGTCCGGTGATGGCAGCCATTTTGAATGTGACAAGAGATGACCTCAAGCTGTGACGTCGCGAGTTGCAAATGCGACGGCTGTTTCCTGTACCATGCATTTATCGTCTGGGGGCCACGTTCACTGATCTCTATTCAGGATCTACGGCACAGGAAACAGCCGTCGCATTTGCAACTCGCGCCCTCGCTCGACAAGCAATTTGCATAAACGCGACGTCACAGCTTGAGGTCATCTCTTGTCACATTCAAAATGGCTGCCATCACCGGACGTTTCACGAGTGCATATGGGCTCCAGAAAGATTCAAGAATATCTCAGAAAATTGAACATCATTACACCTAAGCATCCCAGAAGTGATAGATGGGACATCGTAGAATACAACCATATGTAAGAAATTCCCTGCAAATTTTATGAAAACGTCCTCAGTAGTGCGCGGACCACGGTGTGTGGCCTTAGGTTCAGCGCAGCATACCGACGGCCACACTAGTGGGGCTACCCACTGTATTATACGGCTATTGTTATTTAAATGTCTGGTTCCCTTACGTAATAGTATTCAACGTCACGATCTTTGGCTGTTAGAACCAGACTGCACCAGCCAAATGTTCTCGGACTTTATTTCACTTTTTTAAAAATATTCTCCAAAACCACTGATTTCAATTGGAGAAAATGAAACTTACAAGTAACATTAAAATAAAAAGGACAATTTGATTAAAAACCTGAAACTTGAGGAATCTATTAAAAAAAGGCATGAACCAGAGCAAGAACAACTGATCATACTGATGTCACACTTCGGTACTCTATACGATGTCAACAACATAACAAATGTTTAGTCCAGAAACCTTCAGTGTACAGTGGGAGTGCTTGTACAAGAGCCAAAAAAGTCTGGACCCAATATACACTGCCTTTGATTAACCCTAACTCCCTGGGCCTTTTTGCTAGGATGTAGCCTCAATCCTGCAAAATCCTCCAACTGGCCTCATGGAAAAAAAGCATATAGCCTCAATCCTGCAAATTCCTCCATTATTTCTTGAATATGGTCCATGGAGGGGTGACCACTGCCTGAATCCTGCAAAATCCTGCGGCAGTGACTGTCAATATGTTGAGGCTTGGCCAGTGACATCCTGGAGCAGTGTGGGGGATTTCAAGCATATTCCAGGCCTATATTTATGCATGGCTGAGCAAAAACAACACAAGGTCCGGCCCAAGACCTTGAGAAAGTGCATCCTACAAAATCAGTAAAGCACTTTTGCCATGTAACCTCAATCCTCCAAATTCCACCACTTTGGCAAAGAAGATTTTGAAGGATTCAGGGTGGTTAGGGTTAAAGGCTATGGTGAGGCTTGCTCTGATTGGCTCATACCGGGATTGGCTGCGCCGGTTTTCTTGCAGTAAACGTTAGTTTGCTGGAGGGATCAAAGACGACCAAAACATGGTCATCATGCAGTACACATAAAAAAATGGACTTTCTTGGCCTAGCAGTGGGCACTTCATTTCAGAAACTCATATTTATCAAGGATATCTTGTTATGTGTCATGCAACTAAACTCTTTGTAAACCAATTAAGGCTCTCGTAACTATAGCCACGTCATTGATTTTATCCATACAGGGGACCAGTTACTGGTTGGGACCAAGCAGGGTCACCTATTGGTCTACAGTGTTACAGGAGGAATGGGTAAGTTCAGGCACAGTCAAACTTTAACTGACACATGCACAAAAATGCGGTAAAAGTGTACTTAAGGACCTCTCTATTTCTCTAGTTTACCAGTTCACGTCGGATGTCGTGTATGCTCGAATAGGTTTTGCGGTATTTGGAACGGATGATGGATAAACACGCAACGAGGTGGGAAATGTCTGTCAGCAACCCGCTCGCAGCGAGCGAGGCTAGAAATATCAGGGTGTGCTACCCGCAGATGACGGCCTGAACCCGTCTGGCATTGAGGTTTGTGAAACCAATCCCGCGGCATGCGCAGGCCTGGGTCCGGTCATGTCAAAATAATCCCGGCGCAAACTGGTTAAAAACAGCTTTATCACTCCAAAATGAATCTGCGACCTCAGGCAATCTTCCTCTCCCCTAGTTTCCAGATTTTCAAAAAAACCCAATGACTTAACTATCCATTTTTGCAAGTTGATGTCGTGGGAAAACCACGCAGTTTTTTTTCTCAGCAAAAGCATCATAGCTGGCACACTCGCCATATTAATTTTTGTGTTGTGTTTTGTCGTCATTTTCATCGTTTTATCCCAATTTCCCTCTACATTGTAAAAGGCGGGTTCATAGTTTATGCGAATGCGAATGTCACGAAGCATTCGCTGCAAAGTTCGCCAGAGTTGAAATGTGTTCAACTTTTGCAAATTTGCAGCGCGAAAACATGCCATGACATCAGAAATTCGCGTTTGTGTTTTATTTCGTGCTGAGTATGAACCGGCCTTTAATCCATAACCCTGCCCTCATTCTGTAACATTCCTGTTGCTTTTCAATATCACCAGGCATGCCAGGTTCAAAAGGTAAGTCCAGTGACAAGTCCAATGACATAAAATTGGAATTTAGTTTTCTTACAGAAAAGGGGTCCCGAAGTACACTTTTACCAAAAATGCAATTTAGGTACCAAATTTGATTTTCCCTGCTCATGGCATATTTCTGTGTGAATGTGGGTAATCATAATTATGTTTTTGCAAGTTTTGAGACAGTACTTGGACTCCGTGCACAAACAGTAGATGATGCTTTGTGGCCACATTCAAGCACCCCGGTTGGAGGAACACACCGCGTGCGCACACTCTTGTTTTACTATACTCCCGAGGACAATGCTTTGTGTTTCCCTTTGTCCCTGTAATATAACACTCTCCCATAGACTAAGCACACAAACCTACTAAAGAGGACCGTTCTGAACAGAAGACCCAGAGGACCGAAAGGATCTGTTGTTCTCCCTTTGTGTGTCGGTTCTCGGGGGTTATGCACATTCGATTTTTTTCTGAACGTGTGCAAACCCATAACATTTTTGCGTGGGCGTCAGGCGTCGGCAGCAAAACGTTTGAATGTCGCTGCCACTTGTCTCCCTTAAACTCTCCCTTTGTAACCGTTGAGGGGGTAGTTGTGCGCAGACCCCATCCACTAAATTAGCACTGTGATTAAAATCCCTGCTTAACCCTAACCATCCCAACTCCATCAAAATCCATCCCCCATTTTGGTGGATTTTAGGGGAGTTGGTCCAGGAGGCCTGACGTGACTAAATATTGATGGAGTATGATGGACTTGGGCCTAATGGCCTGAAGCAGTGCTAGGGGTATCTGATTGATTTTGCCTAGCTTCCTGTACTGCTATTGTGATGAAAGCCACGTGTAGCAAGTCCATGAATGTCAACCAGTGCGTCAGTGGTGGATTTCATTATCATGTTCAGTTTTGTATTGGACGCACAGTGATTGATGGATTTTGATGGACTTGGTCCAGTTCCTAGTAAAAGACGCTAGGGAGTTGTAGTAGAGTATATCATTTGCAGTTATCCAAAAGTAAATGACGAAATTATTGTCGAAAAGCATACCGGTACTTGGTTTAAAGATAGTAATGGCACTAAACTCCCTGTGAAATTATTCCTTTTGGCATATTGTCATTTTGAAGAAAACAATAAAAGAAGGCCATTTCCAAAGATGGAAAGCAGTTGGTTTGTAATTCGGCGAATCCGTGAATGGGTGCGCACGCAAGTGTTGACGCGATGCACACATGCGTGTGGTTGCTATCATTTGTCGATTCAGTGCTTGACATCGCATAGCTGCAATTGGCTGAATGAGAGCGTGTCCCGGACGCTGATTTCCGGCGCAATTCAAAACGTGACTCTGCAACTTTTGAATAGAAACCGAGATCCCAGAATATTGTTTTCTCAGAATAAACAGCATTCACTGAGGTAAAACTTCATAAGTCTAGTTGTTAAGCACCCATCTTTAGATTTTGAGCACTATTGTTGCTTCATATAAAAAAATTGCACATATGACAAATCATCTACCCTACCTTTAATAAAAATTGTATAGCAAAAATTAGATTGCTCTACATGTGTGAGTTGTTTTATATATTATGGCATGTCTGGGGTGTTCTCGTCTCTGTATTTTTTTTCCATAATTTTTTTTTTTTTTTAGTGGCACTATGAAACAGGTATTTTTAAATTGAACTGCTGACTTTTTCATGTAGGATTAGATTAGAGCGATCAAATAAGACATCTCAGAATAAAATGTGTCATTGTCTTCCTGTGTAGTGGTAGACTTTGGAACTTCATGCTGGGTTTATTTTTGCTGAAAATTTCAAAATTTTCAAAAGGGACAATTTCCAGCCGACTTCTGATATACAGCCAAACGCCACAAATACTGATTCCCAAGAGTCATATTTCAACAGTATTTCAACGATATTTCTTGACGAAACCTCATACAGTGAATGTTTCAATACTTCGGGGTGTGCATTGTACAACAAATTGGCCATTTACAATGGCTCACACAATGATCAGCACACGGTCCGCCTCCACAGACTACATGGACTTTGTGTGTATACAAAAGGCACAAGGGATTAGCATGTTTAGACGTCGCCCTGAGGCGAGTCAAGGCAATCTTACTGACGTTTTAACCTGTCAGCCGTGCCTGTGTATAAAAACAGCCAGTGCAGGTTATCACGGCCTCCGGCGCGAACTGGTTAAGAAGTTTCCTGAAAAAAAAATCACATGAAACTGAAAGAAAATTTAGTATACATGCAAGTGAAATTGAAAGAAAATTGTGGTGCTAGTGATGATGGATGTAATTTAATCAGATTTAGATTAATATACATAGTTAAATGTTCAACAAAATTCAACATTCCTACATGCACAGAAATCTGACTTTGACAACATACGGTATGTATTTTTGCAGGCATAATAGAGAAACCAGATTATAATCACTTCAAATCAAACAGTTATTGCACCACAACGTATTTCCTGTGCGTCTATGATTATGACACCGCTATTGCATCCACATACCGGTACATCAGCATGGGGACAGGAAGCTGATTCATCGTGTATTGTGACTGATGTTTCATATTCGAGAGGTCTCTGTCATTCTATATTTGTTTAAATAAAAAAAAAACCACAAGCCTCACAAATCTGCTACTAGGGCACACAAAATTCTCTTCAGTTGATTCAGAATTAGTGTAAATACTGGAAATCTTTTCATGCATCTGATGTGCACAATGGGCCGGATTAAGCCTGCAGTCATTACGACAGTTCCGGATCATCGACAGTTCTGTATAACTTGATTAAATACAAATTAATTCAACTGTAACCAAACTTTTTTCTCTAGATTTTGTTTCGCCAGTTTGAAGGTCTATCATTTTGCAATTGACGGGGAAAAGACATTTTGGAAATTGTTCAAACATTACCCAAGTTCCAGTTTGGCGAAATATCCGCTTGTTTTGTAACTGGCAAAGATCTAGTTTCCTGAGGAACGTAGTCAACATTTATCGGATTTTGACATTTGAATTAAATGAATTTCCGTATTTGCCGTAATATGACAGTTAAAGAATGGTTATCGATATAACAAGAATAACATTGTATCACTGAGGAAGTTTCTCTTCAATGGACTATTGTTATCCCTCTGGCTGTAAGCCGGAGGGAGATATTGCGATAGCTTATTCCTTCAGTCTGTTTGTATGTCTGTCTGTATGTGTGTTATGTTTTGGTGAGGTTAACTCTTGTCAGCACGATAACTTGAGAAATACTTTACTTAGGAACTTGAAATTTGGTTTGTTGGTTGTTCGTGGTAGTCTTAAGAAGCCTATTGCTTTTGAAGCCGACAGGTCAAAGGTCAAGGTCACTTGCTAAAACAATACAAATGTTGTCAGCGCGATAACTTGAGAAATACCTTACTTAGGAGCTTCAGATTTGGTTTGTGGGTTGCTCTCGGTAGGCTTATCAAGCCTATTGCTTTTGGGGCCGACAGGTCAAAGGTCAAGGTCACTTTTGCTAAAACAATAGAAATTTTCCATTTTGGTTAGGCAAACTGCCAGCATGCCAGGGGGATCGCGCAAGTTTCACTTGCAGTATTTTTCTATTTTGTCAGTGTGCAAGGCCCCCCCCCCAAAAAAAAGTTGTATTTCTCGTTATAATGTTTTGCACATTTACTCTGAGTTATAACATGAGTCTCACGCCAATCACTCATTTCGGATCACTGTTTTTTATACTACAGGCATCCAGAATTACAAGGTAGACTTGCTCAAGTCTTTCAAGTCGTTCTCCAAAAGGCCCATTCTACAGCTAGCATGCATACCAGAGCTGCAGATCCTGGTCAGCCTGTCTGGTAAGTTACAAGCGTGAAATTTGTCAGGATTTTTTCCCGATTTCATTATTTATAAAAATCCTTTTGAAATCTAAAATTTTTGAAATTTTACCATAAAGGTCTCTTTACCCGTAAAGGTTCCTCAATTCTCCAAAATCCACGAGGCAGTTTTGGAGGATTCTGGAGGATTGGGGCTGAATGGCAAACAAGTTTTGGTTGATTGTAGAGGATGCATTGCGTCAAGTGCGTAGGCTGTACCCGGCATTGTTTATGTTCAGCCATGCATAATTGAGCCCTGCATTATGCTCGATATCATCCACACTGCTTCTGAATGTTATCGGCACTGCCTCATTTAACCCATTAACAGTGATTGTTGAAGGATTTGAAGGATTGAGGCAATGGTCACCCCTCCACTGAACATATTCAAGAAATAACGGATGATTAAGGAGGATTGAGGCTTAATCCATTTTGACATGGTGGCAATTGGAAGTTTTTGCAGGATTGAGGATGGTTCCGAGCTAAAAAGGCCAAGGGGGTTAGGGTTAAGGGATGCCTTTAGGCATAATACAAACATTACCATAGACCCTACATTGCTCTGGGGCCCTGGTCGACCCCAAACCCTCTGAGAACCCGCTGACTATTAGTTCCTGCATTTTTAATTTCCCCAATCTCACCTCTGTCGTCAGTTTGATTCTGTGCATGTCTTGGGTTGGAGACTGACTTGAATACATTAACACAAAATGCAATCATATTTGTCAATCTTTTATATATATTATTGGCCCTTTTTGGACAACTTTCACGAGAACTTATGGAAATAGTTTGAAGAAGAATTATTTTGTATTCGGCTAACACAATTAGGTGTTGCTTTTCACCAGTTTAACCCTAACCCCTAGGCCCTTTTTGCTAGGAACCATCCTCAGTCCTCCAAAGTCCTCCAAAATGTTGCACTTAGGTTCAAATCAAGGATACCCACTGCCTCAATCCTTCCAAATTCCTCCAACAACCCTGCCTCTCAACATGCATTCAGCCTTAACCCTGCAAGATCCTCCTCGTCTTCAAACACCATTCATCCTCAATCCTCCAAAATCAACTGACACTGAATGTCCATGTGCCCTCAATCCTCCACAATCCTCCATAATTGCATGTTGCATTCACCGTCAATCCTCCAAAATTCTCCAAAAATGCCCGGAGGACTTTGTAGGATTGAGGAAGTTTAGGGTTTATCTTGGTTTGGACTCGAACCCACGACCTCCTGCTTACTAGTGCAGACGTCTTACCATTCGACCACCGAGCTTGCCAGGTTGGTTGGCAGGTTCGAATCTAATGTGCATGTAACACCGGGTACTGCAATCAATCTCACTTTTGCATGAGATAATTATTTACATCTCAGAGATGTATGGTTTTACCACAGGACAAGCTATTATTTTCCTGCAATGTCAGTATTCAAATGCGGCTAGGACAAGTGATGATCGCAATTATGAGTTCATCGTTCTAAAGCTTACCCGTGAGTAAATGCAGCGATTTCAATAATGTTGCTTTGCTATGAGTAGATATAGTGCACAAATGTTTTGCCTCATTGTAATGATTTTATTTTGGCCACCCCGCCTCTGTCATTATAAATACAGATGCCGTCATCAATGTGCATGACCTGAACCAGTTTTCACAGATCACCAGTATAGCCAAAACCAAAGGAGCCACTCTCTTTGCCATTGACCTTCAGGTTGGTGTAATAAATGCAGACTTTCTGGATTTTTCTTTTTCTTCCAACTTTCTTTCATAGAGTTAGATTTGCTTAAAGGGAAAATACAACATTTGCAAACATCAAAAAATAAAACTACCAAATCATTTTGAAATACCTTGCTGGACAGTTAGTGAATGACAGTGTAAAGCATCCTGTAAAATCATGGCACCTGGTATACTGTCATTTTCAAGAAAAGTGGTATTTTTTTTATCAATTTCCAATGCTGATCGGCCGATCAGCGTTGGAAAAAAATGGCTTTTTTCAAATACTGGCCCCAATTGACCATCGCACTTGTTTGCAATCGATTACACACCTATGAACGGGTACAAGCCAGCTAGACTGGTTCCCTGACCTTACAATTCCCCAATGTATGTAAACTGCTCTTTTTCTTCTTAAATGGAGTCAGGGAACCAGACTACAGGAAAAAGATTTGTTTTTCTTGGTTTTTATAGCATTTTTGAACCCAAAACCTCAAAAAAGTCAGTGTAACTATATTTGCTATATATTTCCAACCCCCCAATTCCTGAAAATTACAGCAAAAGCATATGATGTATATTCCCTTTAAGCCCCGTTCTCATTGAACTTATTTGGGTTAACCTACAGCGGCTTTCCTGTAGAATAACAAAATTAAGTCCAGTGTGGACAGATGGTAAACTGACATCCCTGTCAACTTTAATTATCGTGACCATGATAAAAAGCTACCAGGCCGAAAGTGGTCACGTAAGATTTCCCTGCAGCCACGGTAAGTTATCAGGGAGGCTGAAATGTCCAATGGGAACAGCCCCACGCTGTAAAGTTACCGCACCAATGCTGTAAAAACACTTCCCACTTCCTGTATTATGTCACTCCACAGCGAACGACGTAAGCATCCACGCGAAAATGAAAAGATTCCCGGTCACATTATTGTGTAACGGGCGATCGTGTATAGTGGGTCTTTCTTTCGTTTTATAAATTAAGATATTTGTATCACTCTAAAATGACTCCTGCAACCATAGGTATTCTTCTTTTAATTCTGATGACCCTATATCTTAAATTTTTAGCAGTACCCGGGTTGTTTCGGCTAATTTCTTACGCACTTTTCAGTTTATCAACTTGATGTTATGCGAACCAACGCAGCATCGGTTTCGCGATGCCAATTGCTTTTTTTTTTGTGTTTTGTTTTGTCATCCTCATTGTCGTTCTACACAAAAATTTCCCTGAACAAAATCAATATACAACACTTCATGGTTTTAAATATTGCTAGTATAGTTGCTGAGTCCCATTACCTAAAAGTGGATCTTTCATTCTCTCATAGGAACGGGGCGTACAAAACTCGGTCAATAAAACAAATGTTTTTTGTCTGTTGGCTTGAAATCATGGCAGATTTGATCAATTTTGTGCAAATTAGATAGGGTTAGATATCAGTGAAAATGGTTAGATGTCAGTATCCACTAAGCTGAATCTTCTGCAGGTTAGTTATTATGCACCCTACTTAAGATGTTGAGCAAATTTGCAGAGTTGTAATGACTCGAGTCCATGACTCGACTCGAGTCCGACTTGAGTCACAATTTTTTGTGACTCGACTCGACTTGAGTCCCTAAGGGTAAATGACTAGACTCGACTCGAGTCACTTTGAGCAAATGACTCGACTCGACTCGAGTCCCTCATCAGAAGACTCGACTCGACTCGGGCGAAGGCTAATAAGACTCGAGTCCCAAAAATAAAGAAACAACTTTGCGAAAAGTATTTGCAATGACTTACAGTGCAAAATTTATGCACACTTCGCTTTGCGAATTAGTCATGTATAAATTTACAACGTGTTACAGACTCCCACCTCATGGTTCTAGAACGCACAAAATACTATCCATGAACCAGATTTTGAAACACATTTTCTAATTTGCTATTTCATCATTGGCTTTAGGCGATTTCTTATAACGCTCCTGGATTCGTACGCTGGCTAAACTTATGGCCTCCTTTTATAAATTTTGGTATGTAGTGTTCAAATATTCGTGACTCGAATTGACTCGAGCTAAATATTTGACTCGACTCGACTCGACTCGACCTTTGGACCTAATGACTCGACTCGAGTCACTTCTTTAAAATGATTTACTCGACTTGAGTCACTTCTTTAAAATGACTCGACTCGACTCGAGTCACAAAAATCAGTGACTCGTTACAACTCTGCAAATTGGTCACTTCAAATAAAAAAGTGTTGAAGCTGCCTTGATAAGATACTGGTGCGATCTAATCGTTCCTTCCCTTCTGTAGAAACTCACAACAGAGAGTGGCAGTTCCACTTATAATCTACGCCTGTGTGTTGCCGTCAAAAGGAAGTTGCAGCTCTTCTATTGGAGAAACAGATCCTTTGAAGAGGTCAAGGTAAGGTGCTGTGGACTGATTGACTACTTTCCAGAGCCCCTGTGGGAGAGGCACACCGTGTGTGCTTACTGGTTCACGTGTGTATCTGCTCCGTTCACAAGTACCCCCTCACCGGCAAAGAAGGTACAGTTGGGGGTGACAGACCGACGTCATCTTGCCTGACTGTAATTTATTTGCCGCGAAGCGCGGCCACTGCGTGTACGTAGTACAAATCCCCTAGTGTACGTGCGTCACACACAACGAACAGTGCGCGTCAACCAGCGAAATATCCCACCCATGGGACGTCGTTGCTAGGTAAAAGGGCGCCCTCTTTCGTTGGCGCACGGTGCCCATAGCATAAAGTAATAATAATAATGTGGTGCTTACATGTATATAGCGCTTTATATCTAGAAGGTTAAAAAGCGCTTCACAATTATTACCCCTGTTCATCAGGAATGAGACCATTTTTGTGCAGCAGCTCGAGATCAGTGCAATTTGGTCTCTACCTTCACAGGTACCCATTTATACTCCTGGGTGAAGAGAGGCAATTGTAGTAAAGTGTCTTGCCCAAGAACACAAGCACCATGTTCCTTGTCAGGGTTCGAACCGACGTAGCACGGCACATGAGTCGAACAAAAAAAGCATTTGAGTTAATTGTGACAATAATTGAGGAAAAAACGTGTGCTTAACTTCAACTGTTTCAAAAACCGGTAGATTCCCCTTTTTCAGTTCAAACAACAATGGTTTACTTTTGCTTTGGTCTAGTAAAAGTACTTGTCATTTGGTAACTTTTTTTTAACTTCATGTTCAAATTTTTTAGATAACCTTAAATTCATGCCTTGAATGAAGAGAGCATTGTATTGTACCTAGTTATACGGGTTGGCCCAAAACGAATGGAACTGCATACTTTTACTACCTTAAACTCAAACCACCTGTACCAATGGATGGAGAATCTTTTTATTATCTTTTTATTTTATTTGATTCGTTCCAGTAGTTCTTGCTGCAGAGCCTATTTTGTGAAGCACACATCTTTATTACATAACAATTAATCACTCTATCCAGTTAAGTCAAATTCGCGGGCACGGTTTAGTAAGTCATCGGGACAAAGTGACTCCCGACAAAAATACGCTCTAGAACAAAAACTACTGAACCGAATCGGGCAATCTTGGTATCATTTTTCGTATTACAGAATTCCCCATGCATTGGTATAGGTTGATTGAGTCTCGGGTTAGCAGAAGTTCGCCGTTCTGGTTTTTTTTGCCACCTTGTATGCAAGTCAGAACTCAGCGCAGTGGGCACATGTGTAATGCAGTATTTATAACTCTACTGAACTTGAATTGTTTGGGGTCCATTGTAGGCTGAACTTGGTGTTCCTGATGTCCCCAAGGTCATGGCATGGTGCGGTAGCTCCTTGTGTGTCGGCTTCAAGAGGGATTACTTCATTATCAAGGTAAAGTGGACAGAACTGAGCAATCATGTCATTCAGGTCAATAGCATTTCCCAGGAATTCACAAGACTGTGCAACATTTGCTCCAAAAATTCCACCAGGGGTGTGCATCGGAGTCGGGTAACCGAGTACCTGACCGCTGGTGTCAGGAACCGGTTTCAGATTATGGGATTGGGTACCCGTAATTTGCAAATTACTTAGCAACTTCTCTGGCAATGAAAAAGAAAATGTTTGAATGCCATTTTTGGGGAATTTTCAAAATGAAAACCAGGCTACAAGGAAACCAAAACAGATTTCACATTTATCTGCTTTTTAATGTGCGACAGACGACATTCGCGAAAGTTGCACCATAGAGCTATACAGGGTGATTAAAAAGAAAGAAAACCCAAATGGTGCCCCTATTTTTTAAAGAGGTTCTTCATGTAGCGCTTTCCAGAGCTAGAATATGAAAGCCCAATTAATAGGCTTTCTTTTAGTGAAAGAGTCAGTCAAATCGCTCATGTACTTTTCCAGTTATGGAATTTTGAACACAAGCACCGTTTGTTTTTTTAAAAACTTGTCCATGGATCACAAGAAAGGAAAATTATATTTCAGCAAAACGAAAATTATTCACATATAAAAAAATACACCAGAACACTCTCATAACCATAATAACTGGCACTTATCATAACATTTATTTAAAAACCTGCTGCTTCCGATGTTAAAATAACATGCTTTATTTATAATGTCAAGAGTTTATAGTCTTGCCCAGCCTTCTACTTGGCTACCCTTACAGGATTATTCTGATTTCATTTTCAGGATACGACATGGTTTCATTTTTACCGAAATACCACATACCTTAAAAATGTAATCCGTTGAAAAGGTTTAAAAAGGTTTGTGTTCAAAATTCCATAACTGGAAAAGTACAAGAGCGATTTGAATGATTATTGTACTCAAAGAAAGCTTATTAATTGGGCTTTATCCTAGCATATCCTAGCTAGTTGGTAGAACTCCGGTACGGTATTGCAGAGGTGGTAGGTTCAAACTCCATTTCAGTCAATTTCTTGGCTCAATATTATTAATAACCCTAACTGCAATGAATCCTTCAAAATCCTCTTTGCCACAGTGGAGCAATTTGGAGGATTGAGGTCACATGGCAAAAGTGCGTTATTGATTTCGTAGGATGCACTTTGTCAAGGTCTTGGGCCGGACCTTTTGTTGTTTTTGCGCAGCCATGCATAAATATAGGCCTGGATTATGCTTGAAATCCTCCGTACTGAACCAGGATGTCACTGGCCAAGCCTCAACATATTGACAGTCACTGCTGCAGGATTTTGCAGGATTCAGGCAGTGGTCACCCCTCCACGGACCAAATTCAAGAAATAATGGAGGAATTTGCAGGATTAGGGTTATATGCTATATCCTAGCAAAAAGGCTTAGGGGTTAGGGTTAATGCAAACAATTCTATTAAAAATGTTAACTGCCTTGTCAATGTGCAAAAGGAATACAGCTATTTTTGCAAGGGTGTTGACTTTTCCCATATTGTGCTGCTCTGTGCTGCGAATTGTGAAATTAAATGGATCCAAATCTTTGTTTCTTCATTTAGGTTGACAGTGGGGAATTAAAAGACCTCTTTACCACAGGCAATGCATCGCAGTCGGAGCCCACGGTGACCAGACTATCTGAAGACATGCTTGCATTAGGCCGCGACATGATGAGCATCATGATTGACTCAGACGGACAGCCGGCAATGAAGCATGCCCTCACATGGTCCGATTTCCCCATAGTCCTCGGTAGGTTTGAATTGGTTGATTTTGATTTGATGTGATACTTTATTATTATTATTATTAATTATTAATCATTTCTGGTAATGAAACCAAGGATTCCTCAAAAGCGCCCTAGGCACTGTAGCTCGCAAGCCTGAAGAAACCTATGGAGAGAAGACAATGAGAAGAAAAATTACAGTTTTAGAGGTGGGAGGAAAACCCCAAAAGAATATTCTGGGGAAAACCCACAGAATCAGGCAGGGACTGAAAACCCAATCCACATATTGGCCCAGGCGAGATTCGAACCCGGGTCACAGCGGTGGAAGGCGAGGAAAGTACCGCTACGCCAACCTGACTCCCGTCTTCCTGACTTCTATTGTATATCTCGTACAACATACTAGAACATGCTGCTAGAGGGCGCCCTTATGCCAATGTTTGCATTTGACATTCCTCACTGATCATTTGTGAAATGTATATAACTGCAGTAAAATGCTTCTGTTTTCAAGTTATATTCAATTTGCATTGCACTTCCCGTAACACAGGAAGTAAAGGTCAAATGCCTTGTATCTTAGAATATAAAATATTGCCATTAGACAATGTCTACAATATTACAAAAAATGAGAACGCTTCTCTTTTCCTTTGTAAATTTATGATTCAAAGTAATGTTTCAAATTTTGCCCTTAAATCGCTGGTAATTTGATACCTGAAGACGTCATGATGATGTCACAAAATTGTTCACATCTCCGGACCAGGGTTCAAGTTCATACAAGGTTTTATCGACATCCTGTGAATCTTGTGGAAGAAGTTAGGGTCGTTTTGATTTTGAGCCTTCTGTCTGTATTTTAAATCACCTATCTTTGACCTTCCGGTAGCCCCAGAAATAAGTGTCAGGCGACTTCACGTTAATAAGGATCAAAAATATTTATTGCGTGACCCATATTTCCTATCTCATTGCAAAATATGAGCACGATTGATAATTTTGTTCAAGAGTTACAAGTTACAGAAGTTGGTCATTTTTTTAAACAAAATCGCTTGTACTTTGATACCTGATGATGCCATCATGATGTCAGAGTAATATGCACCACTCGGAAACATAATGTTCAGAGTTACAAGTTTATACCATAAACCGTTGAGGAGAAAATCCATGGAGAATTATTGTCCTGAAAAAAAGAAAGAAAGACAGATTAATATGGACCATTTGAAAACAGTGAACGGGTCGTACCCGATAACCCAAAAATCAAGATGTAGGCCTACCTTAAATTTTTATCCATCTCCCACAGAGCATGACCAGCCGTACATCATAGCGGTGCTGCCCAAGTACGTGGAGATTCGAACCGCGGACCCCCGCCTGCTGGTCCAGACCATTGAACTCCCCAAGCCACGCTTCATTACAATAGGAAGGTGAGTCAAGTTATCTAATTAAGGACTTTGTGCAATGAACAATAGATAGCGCTTCATCACTACTAACATGAGCTCTATCGGGGGGGGGGGGCACTATTTATGTTCTTTGGTTTGTGTCATATGGGCTCTGTGCGTCGACAAAAGAGGGCGTCCTTTTACCTAGCAACGATATCCCATTGGGCGGGACATTTCGCTGGTTGATGCGCACCGTTCCTTGTGTGTGACGCACGTACACCAGGGGATTTGTACTATGTACACGCAGTGGTACGGCCGCGCGTCGCGGCAAAATTGCAGTCAGGCAAGATGGCATCGGTCGGTCACCCCCAACTGTACTTTCTTTGCTGGTGAGGGGGTACTTGTGAACGGAGCGGATAGCGTGGAGAAAGTTTAAAGGGTCCATGCAATGTATTTTTTTAACGCAGTCTTTTAAAATGCACCTTTGTGTCCCATTTCACCTTAACTTCAATTATCGTTTTACAATTGTTTACAATTTTCAAGGGCATTTTGGTGCCTTTTTGGTTTTTATGCTAAAGCAAATGTCCATATTCGTGAGCAAAAGTGTGATGTCATTTCAGGCAGAAACTTCAAAGTTACAGCTAGCTAATTCAGCATCAAAATGTGCAAATATTTTGGATGTTTTGCTATTATAAATGTTCATTTCTTTAGCGGTTCATATGTGTGTTACTACATAAAGCCAATGAGCAAACTTATCTCACAAAAATCTTCAAAGAGCAAATGTTTGGGTTCACAATTTGAACAGAAAACCTCTAAACTGAACAGTGTCTTCATGAAATGACATCACAGCAACAGCACCCTGGGTTGTCCGGAGAAACATGGATTTAAAAAAAGGAATATTTTTAAAAAGTGCACTTTTCAATAAAATTAACCAAAAAGGGATGTCAAGTAGTTGTCATACATTTAGGAGGAGTAGAAAGTTGCAGAAAATGTGTTCCTTAGAAAAATTCATCATATGGTCCCTCTAATTTTAATTTTGTATTCTCAACTTGTACAAATTGGTAGCGTGCTGGCATTAGTCCCTATCGATGGTTTCGCCAACTTTCTTTTTGTAACCATTGCCCATTGTGACCTTATACCAATGTCATGTGGTATGAAGCCTCCCTCAAGTTGACCTTGCGACGACACAGAACAGCTGGCAACTGACTTTTCGGGATCAAGCTGCGCCTGAGTTACGACCGTACGATCAGTCGGTCATTGTTGGTGACCTGAATGTAAATGCAACGATATTAAGACAACCAGCATCAGTTGGCAATTAAAAGAATATCAACAGTCGCAAGAGTAGAAAAATTTCAGCTTCAGGTTCGCGACGGAACGTGTTCCCGGTAGACGTGAATCAATCGTAGTCGACCTGTGTAAAGTCACAACGTCATGCGCATATCCAGGTCATTTTATATATTGTGAATCGTCGGCGCGTCGTGGGTGACATGGCCATGGTTGCCATTGTTCCCTGTCAAGCTGCTGCTTGTTCCACGATAATCACATAATTTCTCAGTTTTGTGACCTGGGCATGACTTTTGGCTTGATGTCGACAGTTCTGTCACAGCGCAACCAAATCGCAGGTTGACCTGATAGCAGCTTTTGATAGTGAAAGCTATGGTTCATCATTTGTAGGTGGAGAATTTTTTCCATTAGCGCATTTTTACAAGTTTTTGTTCGACCACCTTAACCCTAACTCCCTAGCGTCTTTTACTAGGAACTGGACCAAGTCCATCAAAATCCTTCAATCAGTGTACTTCCAATACAAAACTGTACATGACATAATGGAATCCACCACTAACACACTGGTTGTATCCATGGACTTGCCACACATGGCTTTTATCACAATAGCAGTACAGGAAGCTAGGCAAAATCAATCTGATACCCCTAGCACTGCTTCAGGCCATTAGGCCCAAGTCCATCATACTCCAACAATGTTTAGTCACGCCAGGCCTCCTGGACCAAGTCCCCCAAAATCCACCAAAATGGGGGGATGGATTTTGATGGAGTTGGGGTGGTTAGTGTTAATACAGACGTATGTGCCCCAGATACATCACCTGAGACAGTTTACCTATTCCTATTGGTTGAGAGCCCATAAAACGGGTGGTTTGAAACCACTGTTTAAATATGAAATTAGTTTGAAGATAACTTTTCATCCCTGCTCATCGCTGGAACACAGGAAGTGTTACGTGACTGCGCCTTTTTTCAGGGTTTAATACTGAATTTTCTTTCCACTAGAAAAATGTGCATATTAATGAGTTTCAACTTGAGCAAACTCCTATGTACTCATTTCAAACTAGTTTCTTTTTCTCTTATTTTACAGTGGACATGTGTACGTGGCATCCAATCATTACATATGGAGGCTGGTTCCCGTCCCCATAGCTGCACAAATCAAGGCACTTTTAGCCGACAACCAGTTTGAACTTGCACTTCATTTAGCTGTGAGTATCCTACATTCACTGCTTGTGTACAATCACAGGATAGATTGTTTTTTTTACCTTTTCCTATAATTGCAACTCCAACTCATGAACTTATAATCTGATTATTTGGTGAGTTTGTTTTACTGTTGCTGATTAATCGATATATTATCTAGTTCGTAAATGCAGTATCCCAAGCCCAAAATGTGAGAGCACAATCCATGGGCGATTGTGTAGTTACGGGCCCCGTTCCTATGAAGAAACAAAAATCCACTGTTCGGTTTCATATTGGACTCACCCGAGCAATGTTTAAAACCAACAGGTTTGCTGTGGATAGAGGGTTTTGATTTTTTTGTTGAGGGAAAGTTTGGGTTAAAGGGAAAATACAACATTTGCAAACATCAAAAAATAAAACTACCAAATCATTTTGAAATACCTTGCTGGTCTGTTAGTGAATGACAGTGTATTTAAAGCATCCTGTAAAATCATGGCACCTGGTATACTGTCATTTTCAAGAAAAGTCGTATTTTTGTATCAATTTCCAATGCTGGTCGGCCGACCAGCATTTTCGAACCCCAAACCTCAAAAAAGTAAGTGTAACTATATTTGCTATATATTTCCAACCCCCCAATTCCATCCATTTCTGAAAATTACAGCAAAAGCAAATGATGTATATTCCCTTTAAAACGACAAGGAAGATAACAAAATGCAACACGGAAATAAAGACGGCAATCACTTGTTGTACCATGAAGGCACAAAACCTCATTGATCCGCATGGCATCAACTTGAACACTAAGAAAATCTCATTTTCTTCCAGAAGATACTACCAGAACATACTGTTCAAAAATACCTGAAGTGGGGTCATAATTAAAAGAATAAGCTTAACCCTAACCCCCTAGGCCCTTTTTGCTAAGAACCATCCTCAATGCTCCAAAATCCTCCAAAATGTTGCAACTCCGCCTAAATTTTTCAAAATTGTCAGACAGTCCTGCCTCAAAATGCATTCATCATCAATCCTCCAAAATCCTCCTCATCCCAAAATTTTGCACTCGTGTTTAAATGAAGGATAACCAACGCCAAATCCTTCAAAATCATCAGACAGTCCTGCCTCAAAATGCATTCATCCTCAATCCTCCAGAATCCTCATGTGCTTCAATCACCATTCATCCTCAATCCTCCAGAATCCTCATTTGATTCAATCACCATTCATCCTCAATCCTCTAGAATCCTCCAAAACCGCCAGGAGGATTTTGGAGGAGTGAGGTGGGTTAGGGTTAAGGTTGCAAAAGTCACTTTGGGGTGAAAAAAAGAGGAGTGTAACCTGACAATTGCCCCACAACATGACACGGCAGTTGTGGGGTTACACACTCCTCTTTTGTTCGAGTCTTAAGACTTGTCTAGTACTTTTTATTTTCCGTGTACAAGTATGCCCCCCAAAGAGGTAATTAAACTTAGACTCTCGTCTCCTGTATGCCTGGTGCTTAGGCCAAAAAGAAAATAGTTCTGTTTCCGGTTTCCCTACCTACCCTATTCTGGCAACCCCTACCCTAATCTTTTTATTGGGAAAAATGAGAAAAAAAAACACTCAAAATCATCAATTTCTACCTTTTACCCTTGACTACACGCAGACGCCTCCATATAATCGTACAAAAAAAAATTGGAAAAAAAAATTTAAACTCCTTCCTACCTACCCTATTTTCGAATGCCATGTAATCAGAAGCAGAACTTTTTTTGTTTTGGCCTTATGTGAATATGTTATAGGTTTGTTCAGACTCTCGCCTCCTGTATGCATGGGCCCAATTTCATAACACTGCTGAACAGTAAGCAGAAAAGTTGTGCTTACTATAGCAGAAAATCATGCTGCTGCTTAAGCACTATTTCATGCTAACGGTTGCGCGCGCATGGAGATTTCTATTGTTACGTCACTGATTTAAGCAAAGTTTTCTTCTGGGGATAAGCAAAGTTTACTTCTGGGGTTAAGTGTGCTTTTGCTGTGCTTACTGCTTAACGGTCCCTATGAAATAGATGGAGGCTCGGTAAGCACAAAGTCGGCTGTTAAGCAGCAGTATGAAATTGGGCCCTGGTGTTTATGTGATATGCTATAGGTTTTTTTCACATTCAAATGAGAAGCATTGATGGTGGGTACTTTGAACCACTCGTGAGTGAACCACTGTGTGCACATTGTGTTCCTGCATGGCATTACGCCTGAGGACAGACAACAAAAGGAGCACAAAGGGGCCATTGATCCTCGAAGGAAGGTGCCTATTGTCCTCGAACGCAGGTTTGTGTGCTTAGTCTATGGGAGAGTGTTATATTACAGGGACAAAGGAAAACACAAAGCCAATCCTCGGAAGCATAGCAAAAAATGACTGTGTGTTCTCGTGAATGGTCACGGAGTCTACTGTGCACCAGACTTGATTTGAGGAATGACAGAACTACAATTTATCTTCATCTTTTTTTCCCTTTCTCAGAATATGACAGACGAAGTTGAAGCGGACAAACAGAGAAGAATTCAGCACATCCAGAACCTGTTCGCCTTTGAGTTGTTCCAGCAACAACGCTTTGAAGAATCCATGAAGATGTTTGCCAAACTAGGAACAGGTATACAAAACAGACGGTTGATGAGAAATATCAACTACTACTCTAACTCTCCCTATTTTTACTCTTTCCCAAACATTGAGGTTGCAAAATCCAAAATCCTTAGTGCTTGTACATCCCTGTTGGCTCGGCAACTCAAAATGAACATAAAGTTGGACTTTTAACCAGTTCACGTGGGAGGACATGATAACATGCACTGGCTGTTTTTATACACTGGCACATCTGACGGGTTAAGATGTCAAGATTGCTTCGACTCGCCGTCTAAACATGCTATACACGCTAATCTATAGTGTCTTTTGTACACACACACAAAGTCTATGAAGATTGTGGAGGCGAACCGGTGTTGATCTTGAATTGGCCGTTGTGCACGACGTATTGTTCTACAATTTACACTCCAGTGCACACCTCGGAGTATTGAAACATATGAGGTTTCGGCAAGAAATATCGTACAAATACTGTTGAAATGACTCTTGTGAATCAGTATTTGTGGTGTTTGGCTGTATATCAGAAGTTGGCTGGAAAATGTTCCTTTTGCGAAAATCAAAAAGTTCGGCAAAAATAATCCCAGCGCAAAGTGGTTAAAGAAATGAGATTTGTTCAAGTATAAATTCTACAGAAAAAGATCTTTCCAATGATAGACAACATCTTGGGTGTACTCAGTTCAATAACGGAAATATAGACCGCCAACTAAATGAAAGTTGTAAAACTAATTTTGAGCAAATGGCACTTAAAAATCCACTTTTGTTTTACAGTGAATAAACAGTCAACTAATCAAACAGGATGAAAATAGGTTTAAAGATGCTTGATAGAACAAAAAAAATGAGAAAAGATAAAACAGGACATATAGATTGAGGTTCACCTGATAACAAAAAATCGACTGTCCCTTTAAACTGACTTTGCCCCAATATACTGCAAAATGGCAATTTCTGACTTGAAGCTGATTTTGTGTTGACAGGTTACATGTAAAAGGCATGTAATGGGATGTTCTCTTCGAATGCTTGTTTGAAGTGTTCAGAACGGTGTAGTAGACAGGGATGTGATTTCTCCGGTTTTTTTTCTGGAAATCTGGTTTTTGGGCCTCAAAAGTCCACCAACGTGAATCCTGTGAATCTGTTGAGAAAATAGGGGGTAGAATGTGCTAATTAATTATTCATAATGAGTTTTGCTTGCCGAAATATCCGAAATTTACTTACGGACATAACTTCGTTGATCGATATATCTTTTAACGCACACACATATTGCGTTGCCGTTAGCCCGATCATGTGATTTTTCGCTCGGGTCCGAGGTTGTGATTATTTAGGTCTAGTTCCTGTGTCGGTTCTTGAGGTGCACGTGTTGTGCTTCTCAGGTGTACAGACTAATATTACTCAGCGTGCACAATGGCATACAGTACAGTACAATCACGTGGATTATGCATGTTGTTGTTTTATGTGCGTCGGCTCGGGGTGTACGTATGCTTCCAACATGGCTGCGCCCAACAAGTCGATACTGTCCAAGGAATTTTATCAGTGCGAGAGCTTGATAAGTGAAAAAGAAGTGAAAAATAAGTTCCGGTGGGAATGGTTTCGGGACTCTGATATTATTGACGGGTATCAGCATGAATTTCAAGAGTGTTTTGATAAAAAAGCAACTGCTGGCAAGGTTTTTTGCAATGTTTGCAACGACATTATAATCAACTAAGCCTCGAGTGGAAAGAAATTGCTCATTTCCCATGTGAAAACACCCAAAGCACATCAAAGCATGGCAAATACGGCGAGGTAATATGAAAATGCATGGTTCTCAATTTTGAGTACAGAAGAAACTAAATAAGAACAAGAGTACATTTTAACAAATGAAGGAAAATTCTTCTTAAAATTAAACCAAATTCTGCTCCAAAACTTCAGAGGAAAGTGCCCAGTAATCGCCTCAGATTGCACCACAGAGCATCTAAAGTCAAAAATTTGAGCGCTTCGTGCTCGCTGGAGATTGCACTTCATGCATAAAATTTTCAGGTTTTTTTGTCACAGACCAATCACATCCCTGAGTAGAGCAAGGGTTTGGAGTTCACTTCACATTTGTGTATGCTGTAAACTTCCCCCCGTTTTGAGATTCTCCGGTATTTCCTTTTTCCTATCAATCACAGACCCCTCGCAGGTGATAGGACTCTTCCCGGACCTCCTCCCCAAGGAATACCGCAACAAGCTGGAGTACCCCAGCTCCCCAACAGAGCTAACGGGAGCGGCCATGGAGAAAGGCCTGACGGCCCTGATCGAGTACCTGACCCAGAAACGGCAAGACCTGATGAAGATGTCCAGCAAGGAGCTGAACCAGCCGTCGACCATCGTAGAAGGCTGCGCTACCGTCACCTCTAGGAAGCATATGAGTCAGATCATCGACACCACGCTGCTCAAATGCTACCTGCAGGTACTGATTCTCAATATTGTGAGAGAATTTTTTTCAAATTTCCCCCAAAGCTGTAACAGCTGGTTGAGATGTGGAGATGTCTGTGTTTGTCTGTTTTGTGTTAAGTTTAAGTTTTTGATAAGAAGCCAAAAAAGGAAGCTTAGCGATCCTTTCACCTCTGTGCACCCCATCTCCAACCCCTGTCTCACCCCTGCCGTTCTCCTGCCCCACCCTTGCCGCATATCTGCCTTACCCCTGCCCAGTTGTCCTATCCCACCCTTTAGCCACCCCTACCCCACCCTTTACCTGACCTTGTACATAACATGCCCCAAACCCTACCTGACCCCCTGCCCTACCCCTGGTCCACCCCTGCCCTACCCCTGGTCCACCCCTGCCCTACCCCTGGTCCACCCCTGCCCTACCCCTGGTCCACCCCTGCCACACTCCTTCCCCAACCCCTGTTCCTCCCTTAACCCCCATGCCTCCCCTACCCCACCCCTTCCCCATCCCCTGTGTCCTTCCCCAACCCTTGTCCCACCCCTACTCCACCCCTTCCCCACCCCTTCCCCAACCCTGTCTCACCCCTTCTCTTCTCCTGCCCTATCCTTGCCGCTCATCTACCTTTGCCGTACCATTGCCCCTCCCCATCCCTATGCTGACTCTACCCCATCTTTTACCCACCCCTACCCCACCCTTGTACCTATCATGCCCCCAACCCTGCCCCGACCCTACCCAACCCCTACCCCAGCCTTGCCCCAACCCCTATCCCACCACTGCCCCACCATTGCCCGACCCTACCCTCCAACAAGTGATACTCCTGCACCAACTTCTAAATTCCCATCCTTGATGAATTTTTCCCCTTGTTTTGAAACTAGACAAACGATGCTCTGGTGGCACCACTTCTCCGACTCAAAGACAATAATTGTCATCTGGAGGAGAGCGAGCGCGTCCTGAAGAAACACCAGAAATACAGTGAGCTCATCATCCTGTATGAGAAGAAGGGTCGCCATAAAAAAGGTAAGTCTGACCTTTGGAAAATTGCCATGTAGTACTAAATTCACTTGGCTTGTGATCAGCTAAAGCCTCCTTTAAGACACTTCAGCTGAACTGCATTGGCAGTTCCAACTGACATTGGGGTCTGTTCACACTAACGGTTAAAAAAGTGTGACATTTAGAGGGAACCATGGACAAGAGTCGATACATGAAGTAATATGTTAAGTTTTCCCTCTTTCTTCATTCAATATCTTGGTAAGAACATTGCCCGCCAACAAGTTTGATAAATTTCTCAGGTTTCGAGAAATTAAAGAGGATTATCTTCAAGATTTAACGTTCATAACATGGACGGACATTTCAAATTTGTTCCTAATGTAAAGCTATCCATTGAGAGATTGCCACTGGCCAATCTCAGGTTAAACCTAGGTATTTTAACTACAGGGTGTACACATCTTCAAGACTTCATGTTCATAACAGGGACAGAAATTTTGTCACAAATTTCTGTCCATGTTATTAACATGTATCAAGTCGCATCATAACTTCATAAATACTTAACAAATTGCTTTAATGTTGAATGATACTAATTCTTCATTGAATATGTAATATAAATGGAACATGGGCTGGATTTATTATAACAAGAACATATAGTATGAATCAAGAGTGTCCGTCCATGTTATGAACAGTATCCTTTATTTAATCTTAAAGATGGCCGAGTAATTTCCTACATATCCAGTAAATCAGCCTAATTATTTGTCAGTGCATTCACGGATAATACAGGAATGTTTAAAAAACAAAAATTAGCAAAAAACCTGCTTTGAAATCCCCCTATCATGTCTCACCCAAGTTGTAACAAGGGTAAAATGCCTTTCATTATCACACAACATATACATAATGAGCCAAATGTGCTTTACTTCACTAGTCGGTGTTCCAGTGCATCTAGGATGTAAAATTAGCTACCCCGCACATGCACACGTGAGATGCACGTACTATTGTCCCCTAACGTGGCGCGGCCCCTAACGTGGCGCACTTTGATTTTTAGCCTCTAGTGCCTTGCTAGAGCAAAAGTTTCACATTAAATTTCACACTAAGTGAAATTTCAGCAAGCTCTAAACATTCCCGTTCATAAACCTGGATTTTACTTATCTGTTACAAAGTTAAGAGAGAAATTAAAATTGGTGCAATTTTCCAGTTTTATTTTGAAGTGCGTAGTGAACCGTTTTAAAATGCGCCCAAAAATAAGAAAATGATTTTCTGATGAACATGTAGTTGGATATGTGAGTGGAGATAACAATGGTTATCAATTGTCAATTTTAAAATGAAATTTTTAAATGTTCACTTGGGAATTTTTTTTTAGATTTGTTCAAGAGGCCATATTAGGGAACACTCGGCCGATTTTTGTGCCCAATTTCCGGATGCCACTGATTTTGAATTTCGGACCAAAAATTCACGACACTGAAATTATTCACAAGGGTTCAAAAGCAAGCATTATTAAGGTAATAACACCAGTATTTAACGGATTGAATTTGAAGCTTGCCAACAAAGAGGCTTGGCAACACTGAGGAAAGTCGAGGGAAACGTCAAAGTGCGCCACATTAGGGGAGCTGCTATATCGCCAAACCGGTCAGTAGCACCAACGATTGCGTACACACTGAAACCACACTAAAACCTTCAAGTCAGATGAATAATTAACCTATCGCGGTAAAATCGCGTCAACGCAAATATGGACCAATTACACGATATACAAATGGACGAGGAACGTACAAAATCTGAGACAAACAAAACTTATCGTACAAAATTCCATAGGGTTGTCTGGGGGGGGGGGGGCATGGCTAACTCGCAAACGGCAGTAGGTCATTTACACACAGCCTGTGGGAGGGGATTTTCCCAAAGAACCTTGTCACACTTGATAAAGGAGGTGAACACATATGAGGTGTACTAAAACAAATATAGCATCGTTTATTTCAGGGACGTAGTGAGAAATTACTGGTCTCTTGGTGTGGCTGATTTTTGACTACATCTAATAATAATAATAATAACAAAGCATTTGTAAGGCGCACAGTATCTGACAAAAATAGTCATTCAAAGGCGCCGGTCAGTGAAAAGTCAGTGTGTGTGAAGGTAGAGGTCATCATGTGTGAGAAAGAAACTGATTGAAGAGGTGGGTCTTTAGTTGGCGTGTGAAGAGAGATAATTGGTGTATTGCCCTTAACGCGTCTGATAACGAGTTCCAGAGACGCGGTGCAGAGCTGGAAAATGCACGGTCTCCGTAGGTCGCCAAACGAGTCTTCGGGACAAACAGTATATTGGATGACGACGACCTCAGACCTGGTCTCAGTTGACGATGTTGAACCATTTCCTTCAGATACAGTGGGGCTAAACCATGAAGAGCTTTAAAAGTAAGAAGGAGAACTTTGTAATGGATGCGGTACTGGATTGGTAGCCAATGAAGTTTGCGCAAGATGGGTGTTATGTGGGAAGATGATTTCGTTCTTGTGAGTGTGCGAGCGGCAGAGTTCTGGACAAGTTGGAGACGTTTTATCGTATGTTGTGGTAGACCTACAAGTAGGCTATTGCAAAAATCCAATCTGGATGATATGAAGGCATGGATGAGTTGTTCTGCGGCAGAGAATGTAAGTGAGTTTCTTACTGCTGCTATACGTCGTAGATGTATGTAAGAGGACTGACAAATAGAAGAGACATGTCGTTCAAGGTTCATTGACTTGTCAAAAATGACACCAAGATTGCGGGCTTCAGAGCAAGGAGCGATATGTGTATCTCCTATGTGTATGTCAGAGATGTTGACTTTGTGTCTGATGTGCTGAGAACATATGACAAGGTACTGTGTTTTAACTGCGTTGAATTTGAGGAGATTGGCTGTCATCCACTGTTGGATGTCTTTCAGGGATGTTTCAAGAATACGGTGTGTAATAGTGTCATCACCAGGAGAACTTGGACAGAAGGTGGCAAAGAGTTGTGTGTCATCTGCATAAAAATGAGGGTGTAGGCCATGACGTCTTGCAATGCGCCCTAAAGGAGATATGTATAATATGAACAGCAGAGGTCCTAATACGGACCCTTGCGGAACCCCATGTCGGAGAACTGACCGATCAGACAACTCTCCTGATATGTTGACAGCCTGAGATCGATCTTGGAGGTATGATCTGAACCATGAAAGTGCAGATCCCTGTACCCCAAAGTGATACTGTAACCTATGTAGCAGGATTTTATGGTCAACGGTGTCGAAGGCTGCTGAGAGATCTAGCAGAACCAGGAGAACAACCCTTTTGTTGTCAACAGCGAGCATTATGTCGTTGTGAACTTTGACAAGTGCTGTCTCAACACTATGGAACTTAGTGTACGCTGATTGGAGGTTGTCCCGCAGGTTATGTTGAATGAGATGTGCATTCAACCTGGCTGCAACTACTCTCTCAACAACCTTCGACATAAAAGGCAAATTTGAAATTGGACGATAGTTCTTTAGATCAATAGAGTCCAGTGATTTCTTCTTGATGACGGGTGTGATGAGAGCTGTCTTGAAGCATGTCGGGAAGTGACCTGTGGCGAGTGACTTGTTGATGATCAGTGTTATAGGGTGAAGCAACACGTTGATGTGATCCTTTACCAACGATGTCGGTATTGGGTCAAGAGGGCAGGTCTTCGTCGGTGCACTCTTGACGATCTTCATCACTTCTGTGTCTGATGCAGGTGCTAAGGATAAGAGGGGAGATTGGCAAAATTCAAGATCTGCCTGCGCAGGATTAATGCCGGGATCCATTTCTGCTAAGTCATTTCTGATCTTGGAGATCTTGCTGTCGAAAAAGTCAGAAAAATGGGTAGCCATCACAAAGGGTGAAGAAAATGATGGTAGTATGGGTGTTGTTTTCTTGTGCAGAAGATGGTTTATGACCTGGAAAAGGGCCCGTTGGTCACCATCATAGCCTTGGATTTTCTCTGAGTAGTAATTCGTCTGGTAATACCTGTATTTGGATTTTACCAGATCTCTCTGCGATTGGAACATCTCACGGTGTATCTGTAACTTGGATTTTCGCCAGCGTCGTTCAAGTTGACGACGCTTGCGTTTGGCCTCTGCGATGTCATTGTTGTACCAAGGAATTTTTGGTTTATCTACAATTTTGCAGGTTTTGGGGGGAGCGTGAGAGTCAAGCAGTTTACAGAGTACAGAGTTGTACTGGTCGACTAAGGTGTCTGGCGTATCTGCAGGGCATGTGATGAGCGGAGATGTGGCAATGTCATCCTTAAATTTAGTGGGGTCTATCGCAGTGATCTTCCGATACGTGATTTTGTGCCTCACATATCTTGGTTTACGCAAGTCCAACCGGCAATGGACAGCACAATGGTCAGACACAAAGTCCGATGTGTCAACAGATTGTACGAGGGTGTCGAACTGTCGCGTGATCACAAAGTCTATTGTGTGACCAGATGTGTGAGTTCCAGTGGTTACCAATTGTTGCATGTTGAACTGTGTGAGGAGGTTACCAAAACGCCGGTCATTAGCTGAAGGGGTGCTGGTGGTGGCGTCATTGTTCCAGTGGATATTGAAGTCTCCTAGTATAATAAGCTGCCCAGTGAACAACGCATACCGATCAAGAAGGGAGGCGAACTCATCCATGAACGTAGTTAATGAGCTGTGTGGTGGACGGTACAACACAATGATTCGGAAGTGCTTGTTGTCATGGTTATGAATGTCAACTTCCATAGATTCAAAGGAAGATGGCGGTGGATGGCTACACTGCTTGACAACAGACGCCGTCAAGCTAGACTTGTAGACTAGTCCGACACCACCACCTCGACGCCCTTTTCTGGGGATATGTACCAGCTTATATCCCTTGGGAGTTATACTAGCGGTGTTCCGATCTTGTTCAGCACGAAACCATGTTTCTGTTAGAGCTAGGATGTCAATGCTATAGTCACGAATGTGATCTATAATCAAATCTGACTTATTACAAGCAGATTGACAGTTTATCAGGCCGAGGTGTGTCATAGTTAGGGCATTCTTGTCAAGGTGTTTGGTCGTATCCCCTTCTTTTCGTTTTCCTCCCCGGCAACCCCTATGTTGATGGTGCCTTTTAGTGATACCAAGCGATCTAATGTTATCGAACACTTTGGTGGGGAGTTTAGATCTTGGGTTGGTCATTTTGACTTGGATGGTTATCAGTTCATCCTTGGTATACTGCAGCCCTTTCCCCGTGTACATGGTTGATAGGGACAATGTAGTAGCAATTGTCAATAACAAAAGACACTTACACCGTGCGTGAATCATGGTTAGAGACCAGTGGCATATAGCTGTCGAAAAGCAACATCAAATGTCACATTACAGAGTTCCATACTGATGACAACAGTTTGACAGGAATGGACAGGAACCCAACACACACCTGATGTGCAATCTTGGAGTCATCAAGAATTGACGCAGTGGTAGAAAATGTGACTTTTCAAGAGACCAAAATGTGGGGCTGCCTCAAGGCGCACACCGTCACTGGAGCTAGTCAGATCAGGAAACACCTCAGGACCCGTAATTTTGCATGTTCCTCCATTTTGAATAAACTGTCCTTCCCCATTCTCTCTGTCTCCAAGCCTTGGACCTGTTGCTGAGGCAGTCTCAGAAGCCCAACAGCCCCCTCAAGGGTCACGAGAGAACGGTGGCTTACCTACAGAGTCTGGGCAACGAGCACCTACCCCTCATCTGTGAATACGCCACGTGGGTCCTCAAAGCCCACCCAGAGGATGGACTCAAGGTGAGCCAGATTTATTTATTTGTGAATATTCTTTCACAAATTAATTCGTCCGGACAGCCCAGTCCTTGAACTGATTTTCAGAGGGGGTCCCTGGGTAATAATAATAATAATACTGGAGTCTTATATAGCGCACGTATCTACCAACAATTAGGTACTCAAGGCATTAAGTAATATGAATTAATTTTAAAGACAGGTAAATGAAGTATTTGAAATATGAGACCCATTTTATGTAGCACCTTACAAGGGTTTACAAGTTGCTGCGGCGCATATTGCAGCCACTGCCAGAAACACCGGGGCAAACCCCTTCTCTTAGCAATAAGTGTTGCTGGGTTCTTTTACGTGCATTACACAATACATGGGACCTACAGTGTTACGTCACATCCGAAGGATGAAGTAATAATGGTTAAGCCTCTCACTTAAAATCATTTACACATGGATAATGCGTATGCACCAACATCATCCTAGATACTTTGAATGAGCTTAATATGTGTGAGGCTTCACCTTGCAAACTGTGTTCTCAATTTCTAATACCTTCGTTCCCTTTCTCGAACTTTATACTGCAGATCTTCACAGAGGACATTCCCGAAGTCGAGAGCCTTCCCAGACTTCAGGTCCTGGACTACCTGATGACTGTGGCCAAGAAGCTGACGGTGCCCTACCTGGAGCATGTCATTCTAACATGTGGGGACACCACCCCCGAGTTCCACAATCGACTGATCCACATGTACAGGGAGATGGTGCAGGAAAAGATGGAAGAGTACCTCCACACTCTGCCAGAGGGTGAGTTGAAATTTAAGGAGGGTGAGTAAATTTTATAAAAAAATTGAGTCTGGAGCAAAATATTCTAAATCTTGAAGTGAGGCCAGTATTGAAGTCAGTATATTTAGTCCTATATTTGCGATTTCAGCATGAGACAATAAAAATCCAGCCCTGATTTGCCAGTTTCTTTTCACATAATGAATAACAGTGCAGAACGAAATTGTAAACACTTTTCCGGTGTCACATGAAATTTGGACTGTATGAAATTTGGTCCCTTTTACCCTTTTATAGGTTGAACATTCACAATCTTCAATTCGGCATGCGCAATACTAGCAATGAGTCCGCATTTTGAGTGTCCTAAATTCACACTACACCGACACTGCTCCGTTCTGCGCCACATCGCCATATAAGGAGTTGTTTACGACTACTTGTGAGAGGCACATACCATAACATAGCTGGAGGGGTGTTTTGAAAAACCTTTAAGTGAAAGTGTTGAACAGAATTGTTGGAAATTTAGAATTTGTGACTTGTTTTGACTTTTTAACCGAAAAGGTATTTATGAATGGGAATAAATATGAGCTTGGTCAGTATTGTCTGTTTGAAACCAGTTTAGGGCCTGGTGGCCAATAGTGTCCCTCGCCTTCAGCTCGGGTCATTATCAGTGTTTATACAACACCTGAATAAATCCCCGTCATCTGATTGGAGGATCGTTGATCACATGTCATTGAATTATTCGTACCAACGCACGGCGCGTGCGTGGCGCGCAGCGCACAGTGCAATGGAAGTTGTATTGCACTGTGAATAGAACTTCCATTGCACGCTGTCGCTGCTGGTGGTGGCGCTGTTTTAAATCGAGATAAATTGATAAATTGAATGTGATTGTTCTCAACCTGTCGAACAGTTTGCATTAATATAAATATGATGAACTTGTCGAGCTTTTAAACAATTTTCAACCTGAATAAATTGGCTATTAAAAGTCAACCAATCAGATGACAAGGATTTATACAGGTGTTATATAAAACAAATAATGAATGTTTCACTTTCGTGCAATGGAAAGAATAATTTCATTCGGTGACAGATAAAATGTCCCATGGAACGGAACATTTCATCTGTCACCTCATGAAATTATTCTTACCATTGCACTCACAAACACTCATTATTTGTATACTATTCCCCAAGCCAGTCTTAAATGGACTTGTTTAAAACCAGCCAAGCACATATTTATTCCCTTATTTGTGCATGCATGATGCACATCAATCACAGCTGCGATTTGCTCAAAACATCACAGGGCGGAGCTTAGTGGATTAGTCCATTAGGAGAACTGTGGATCATTCCATATTTTTTAATTCATAAAAACATTCAGGTCAAATGCCCCCAAGGGCTGGCACAGAGCCGGGAGAATTTGGCGAACTGAGGAGAAAATTGCTGTTCTTCCTGGATTCTTCGGCATCTTACATTCCTGAAAGACTCCTCACACATTTCCCCTTTGACGGTGAGTTTATGATTTGATCTTTGTTTTCTTTTTCCACGTGGAGAAAAGACAATTAGCAATTTTGATATAGTTGCCTCATTTCAGTTTTTTTATTCAAATCGTAAATAACAAAGAAAAACACCTGTATTCCTCAAAGTTCAGGCAAACACGTTACTTACATCCCTGCCAATATCAACAGAGCTGAAGATGTATTACCACTTTGTTGGTGTAATCAGAATTTGATCAACAGTTGAAAGACGTTTCGGAGCATTTTCTAACATGTAAGAAGGTGACATTGGATTTTCTGTGTGTTTATTCCTGTTCACAAAAGGCATGGATGTCCAAACGTCAGTGTGATGATTTTTTTTTTTAGAAAACTCTGAAGACTTCTTTTGTTTGGGACAATAGAAAAACAATTATGACATTAGGGTAGTTACTATTTCTAAGCATTCTGTTATCAGTAACAAACAAATCTTGCTTGTGAGATTAAACAGGGCTTAAACTGAGCTTTATTGGTCTGCATATACAAATTCTGGCTTTTTTTTAAACGAGCCAGTCAAGTTGGTATTTGAAATGCTTTGCTGCCTGTCGCCTGATTTGAAGGTGCGTCGCCTGCTTTGTGGGCGATCAGCTTGCGAACAACTTGTGACTTCCCACACGTATGATCACACATAACATGTTTGCGCGTGAGAGCATCTGATGTCACACACATGAACAAACTTAATGACCCCTCCTAATATTTCAACACAGTTTGTGAAAGTAGAAACTATACTCTGAGGTAGGGAGTGAAAAATACTAACCTGATGAATCAGTGAAAGTAATATGTTGGATGTAGTTAACAAGGGGTAAAGCTTTAAAAATCAGACAGGCCCAATTTTGTTGTGACACAGTGACCAAAGAATGGCCCTCCCACAGTGTAACCAATCTGTGTTTGTTTGTTGGTCGTCTTGTCTGCCTGTGTAGGATTTTACGAGGAGAGAGCACTCTTGCTGGGGCGGCTGGGTCGTCATGAGCAGGCCCTGGCCATTTATGCCCACGTCCTGAAGGACACAAGGAGGGCCGAGGAGTATTGCCGGAAGAACTATAAGAGGGACCCCAAGGCTAACAAAGACGTAAGCAGAAAACAGTCAGTAGTAGAATTGTGATCATCGTGGAGCCTGTCATTACACAACTTAGGTTGATAGTATACAAATATTGAGTGGCTCAGAGTGAAATGGGAAGAATATTATCGCAAGGTAAAATCTGGACTTTTCCAGTTCACGAGACGAAAGTCCAGATTTTACCGAGCGATAATATTCCTCCCATTTCACAATTTAAAGCCACTCAATATTTGTATTATATAACTGACATACATCCTTGTCATTTGATATATTTGAACTTATATTTCAATACAAAATCGGTGGAAAATGTATTTCTCTCTTCAAAACCACCCCTTTACGAAAATGTTTGAACCCAACTATGTAGCGCTGGCTCTTTGGAACAATACGCGCAACGCTGAATGCGCACTCTAGTATGCGTTTTGCACACAAATACCGCGTCGTGGAACAAGCATGATCCTAACTGTTGAATAGTATTTCCCATTCCCCATGGGCGTATGGGACTTTTTGAGCCCTGGCGTGATTGGGAGCAATAACGAATGTCACGTGATGTGAGTTCCACCAATCAAATGACAGGGATCTGTATGTCGGTTAATATACAGGCACGCATAGCTTTGTGTTTGAGGTAAATTAGACAGAATTTTTTAGAGTTGCTGCACAATTCCAAAAAAAAAGTCGGGCCAAACTATTGTCAAAATGGCGGGCGGAGGTGATGTAACGACTGTTTCGTGACCGAACAAAATGATACGAAAACAGCCGTCGAAAATGCTGTTATTTACATTATGTAAAATGATGCGCAGCTACGCCAAGTTTCATGAAGTCGATTGTAAGTTTATTGCGCAGCTGCGCAACAAATTTGTTCCGCAAGTCCTACGCATGGCGAAAATTACGCACTGTTTCGTGAAATCGGCTGCAGTAATTTCACAATCTTTTCCTCTCAAACCGCTTGGTATTTGTTTGGTATTATATAACTGACAGACAGATCCTTGTCATTTTCATTGGGTGAACTCACATCACGTGACATTCGTTATTGCTCCCATTCACGCCAGGGATCAAAACAGCCCATTCTGCTATTCAATAGTTAGGATCATCATTGTTCCGTGGCGCGGTATTTGTGTGCAAATGCATGCCTGGTGTGCGCGTTCAGCGTTGCGCGTAGCGCATATTGTTCCCAAGAGCCAGTAGCTGCAGAGTTGGGTTCAAACACTTCGTAAAAGGGTGGTTTGGAAGACAGAAATACATTTCCCACCAATTTGTATTGAAATAGAGGTTCATTTGAACTGCAAATCAAACGACAAGGATCTACATGTTAGTTATATTAAACAAATATTGAGTGACTTTAAATTGTGAAATGGGAGGAATATTAATGCTTGGTAAAATCTGGACTTTCCTATTTCACGAGGCGAAGAAAAGTCCAGATTTTACTTTGCGATAATATTCCTCCCATTCCATTCTGAGCCACTCAATATTGTATACTAACCAACACGAGCTCAGACCATTCCCATGTAATAAATTCCCGACGTTATTTAATATCCCACTAGGTCTACCTGTCGCTCTTCAAGACATACATCAGCCCACCAGATGCAAACTCCCTGCGAATCATGGCCAGCATTGAACCGTCCAAGCCCAACGTCAAAGCTGCTCTGGACGTTCTGGAGCTCCATCATGACAAAGTAGACACGGCCAGGGTGGGTGTGGCTTAGATTTTTTTTGGGGGGGGGATGGCCGGGTAGGAGGTCAGAATACCTCAATCATTCGTGTACATTTTTTGAAGGATTTTGTCTCTAGTTGTGGAATGTTACATAATTATTGTCAAATATCTGATTGTTTCTTGTAGATTAAAATAAAAGGGGAGACATTATGGTGATCCGTTTCATTCAATGAGTTTTTTCCTGTTAAAAAAAGCTGCTTTTGCTTCAGTGATATTTTGATCAACAAAAATTGGGGGGTGACGGGCATAAACATGCTCTTTTACCTTAAAAAAAACAACTTTTAATTAACCCTATTTAAACGTTGCTCAATCTAACGGGATCCAACTGTTTTACATATCCGGTGGGTCCTGTTGGATTGAGCAGTAAACCCTTTTATTCCCTTTGTATATATTCCTGAGAATTGCAACCGCTCAGTCTTGTGTTCAGCGGAAAGCTGGCAATTATGAAAGCGATTTAATTTATTTCTTCCCTAGCAGTGGCGCACCCAGGATTTGGTTTTGGGGGGGCTCAACATTTTTTTTTTTATAAATTTGTTACCAAAAGTTTTGGCCACAGAAAAAAAAAATGGGTTTTTTTTTGAGGGGCGGCCTATTTTGACGTTGGTGGCGCCACTTACACCCCTATTATACCACTCGAAAACAGGCCACATTCATATCACCAAGGCCAAATCGTGGGACTAAAAAAAAAAAAAAAAAAAAAAAAAATTTGACAACCTCTTGGGGGGGGGGTCAAGCCCCCTGAGGCCCCCCCCCCCCCCGGGTGCGCCACTGTTCCCTAGTAAGTTACAACTCTTACAACTATCTTTTCGACTTATTGGCACGATTAACAAAACAATAATTGTTGACTGCTGTGATGTGCGATATAAAAACGCCATATCCCGCATCACAACAGGAAACAATTGTTAAAAATTTTATCTTTAGACTATATTTTTTGTAACCTCTGTTTTTTATGAATGGAAGTCAAACAAACAAACAAATAAACAAACATGTTTCTTTCCGTTCTCTCTACCCTCAGGCCCTGGAGATGCTACCTGAGACGATCCAGGTGAAAGACGTCTGCCGTTTCCTCGAGGGCGTCCTGGAGAATAACGCCAAGCACAAACGCCACAACCAGATCCTCAAGAGCCTCTTCTTCTCTGAGAACCTCCAGGTAAGTTTGGTTTGATTTCATTGAATTTTTTTTGGAAAGCATTTTAGAGTTGCTAGCTCCAACAAGTGAACCTTTTAGTGTTGTTCTTTCTTGGTAAATGGTCTGAAGCACAAAATATTAAAGGTAGAGTGTATCATTTGCAGCTATCCAAAAAGTAACTGACCAAATTATCGTTGAAAAGCTTACTTGGTTTAAAGATAGTAATGGCACTAAACTCCCTGTGAAATTATTCCTTCTGGCATGTTGTCATGTTGTCATGTTGAAGATAACAATAACTTTAAAAGAAGGCCATTTCCAAAGATGTGTCAAATGACGCTTTTTTGAAAATTTCCGTCAGCATTCGTTTTGTAATTCAACAAATCCGTGTATGCGCGCAAGCGTTGACACGACGCACACGTGCGTGCGCTTGCTCTCATTTGTCAGTTCAGTGCATGACATCGCGTAGCTGCAATCGGCTGAATTAGAACGTGTCCCGGACGCAGATTTCGAACGTAAATCACAACATGACACCGCAACTTTAGAATTGAAACCGAGACCTTAGTATATTGTTTCTCAGAATGTACAACTTTCACAGAGCTAAAACTTCATTGGGTTGTTAAGTACCCGTCTTTAGGTTTTTAGCCCTTTTGTTGCTTCAAACGAAAAAAATGCACAAATGACAAAAAATATACCCTACCTTGTAATGGAGTGATTCAAAGTACATTTTGCCAGCCAGATATGTGACCCGTCACCTAAGATGAGCAAAAATTCAGACTTTTTAAGAATTAAGATATGATTCTGCAGAACAGGAGTTTCCTAGTGGTACATAACATTTGGGGGTACTGAGTTCAGTAACGGAAATATAGACCACCAACTTAATTGATGTTGTAAAAGTAGTTTAAAAAAAAATGGCATTGAAAAGTCCTGCTGATGTAATTTGACTAGTCACAGTGCTTGCTTGACATATGATCTGACTGCTGGTGACTAGCCTTTGTTAGAAGTATAGCAGGGGAAGTGGAAGTGAATTTTGACTGTCCGTGACTGTTTAAATAGCAGAAGGGTTAGGCCAAAAAAAATATTCGGTCTCTGGTCAGACCAAAGTTCCGGAATTGACGCGTCCACGCACCTTTTTTTTTTTTTTTTTTTTTGCTTTTTTTTTTTTTCTTCAAGCTTGGATTGTACAGACAAGGTGGGTACTATTTTGCTTTTTTTGTGTCCTCATGTACATTGGTGTCCTCCATAATTTGCCTTGGTGCTTTCGATCATTTGCCTTGGTGCAATTTCCCATTCCTTGGTGCTCTTTGGTAAAAAAAAATTGAGGAGGTGCGGAAATAGAGGGCGCTGTTGGAGCTACCGCGGAACATTTTGGGAAAAAAAGAGATCGACGCGCATGATTAAAATCGACGCGCGCGTTGACCAGAGACCGACTTTTTTTTTTTTATTGCCTTAGTGGCAAATTCTGACATTTTGCTTATTTCATGGTGACAGCGCATACGTCATTATAGGAAGGCCGTTCTGTGGGCTGTATCATGGGAATATGAAAGTTGGTGCAGACAATTGCAAAATGCTTTTCATTTTAAACTAAGTGATGAAAATTCAGCAGATTTTAAGGTTATTTACTCATGCAATATAATTTGGATTTTTTGTGTGTGAATAAGCTTCTTTTTCTTTAATGAGCTGTCAACAAGCATTTGTAGCTCTCAACAGAGACTATTGAAGGGCAGATGATTAACAACACGACAATAAATATTGGAAGTTGAGTGTACATTGGAGACTAACCTCTCTAAGGCGAAACTCATAGCTGGCACTGTATTGCAAATCCTTTGTAGTGTGGAATTATTTGCTTCATAAAGGGGTTTCATTGAGTGCCCTAAATGTGTCTCCAGGGATGAGTGTAACAAGAATGTGCATAGGTGCAAAAACAGTCAAGTACGCATGTTAAAGCACATCCGTGGCCATTATGTAGTTGCTGGACATGTTCCTATAAGAAAATAGAAATCAAATTTTAGGTTATTGGACATACCAAAATTAGCCAGCAACATTTAAAAAAAACCCAGGAGTGTTGTGGATAGAGGGCAGGGTATGGATTTTTTTGCAGGAAATTATGGGGTAAAATGAAGATGACAATATGCATCACGAAAATAAAGATGGCGATCACCGCAAGGCACTGTGAATCATGTGCAAAACTGCGTTGACTAGCACTTTTTTAGCCCTGCATCAAAAATTTGTTTTGTTTTTTTACCAAGGGATACTATTCAAAATAACTAGAAAATAGGTTCAAGTCTGCTTTATGTTGTAAAAGTCATTCTGGAATGATAAAAAGAACATTCTTGACTTTTACTTGACCAAAACTAAAGAGTGGCCCGTAACTAAACAATTTCCGGATCGTTTTCAATTTCCCTGAAAAGTACATGTACCTACCGATTTAAAGGTACCTACTTGATTAAAGTGAATATGGGAATGCTATCATTTTAAAGAACACTAACATTGAAGGTGGTTTCAAATTAGGGTGGCCGCCAGCATACTTTCTTTTTTTAGAATGATGAAAACTGTTGAAACCAAAACAAAATTACCAAATTCTACACCCTGTACGGTCGTCAAAATATTTGACGTCAGTGAGCAGCCAACTCTTTCATATTTTAAGGTATTACATTTTTTTAGTGCTTGCCGCCATTACTCCCTGTATTAATAACTGCAACTAATCTACCAGTAAACCTTGAGTATATACACACAATCACTATAGGTATAAAGTGCAACTTTCCCAGACCTTTTATGGACACAGCGCCCTCTTGTGGCAGGATTGTTCCAGCTGCATTGATTATGATAATACCAAAAAGGGTGTGGAGCTTGCAGCCGTCAGCACATGCTCCAGCCCGCAGATATGCCGACTCTTGCAGACAGTGTGGGGAACTACATGTTTATGTTCATGTGCTGTGTCAACACACAGATATTTATATCCCAGTCAGGAATGAAATATGGAGTACATGTGTACATGTGCCAGCAACAAGGGATTGTGATAAATATCATAGTGATGATATGTGTCAGGGCCCTAGTGTGCATATAGTTCTAGATGCTGCGGCATATATTTGTGACTCATGTTAAATGCTTTTGGAGTATTTCATAGGTATCATCAGAGAGTGTCTTGAGTGTGAGACAAAGTAGATCACTTGATTTGAATTGATTGTGTTGATTTTAACACTCTTTTTGAGCGTCCCAGAGATTCTGTGCATAAATGATTTTTTTTTCGGGGGGGGGGGGTTCAGATTCCAAGGAATTAACCTGTGAGGTATTTTGAGTTTTGGATCTGGGCAAAATATTTGTGCCCATATACCTTCATACTTGCAGTAAAATGAGCAGACAGCTAATTTATGTATAGTCGTTCATATACCTTTTTGGTATGTAACTCTTGGTGTTTAATGGAGTTCATGTGCACTGCTAAAAAGCAAGGTTTTCAAGTTTTTCTTGTTTTAAATTATTTTATGCAGGGTTGGATAATTCATTCTTTAAATGATGTGCTCATTTTCCTTTGGCATCATAAATTATTCTTGAGGTTTTTTTTCTGTACAGGAGGGAAGATGTGAATATTTAATGAGGCAAAATAAAGACTTGCTGTATTAAACACAATGTATGAAGCATATTTAGTGACATTGCATATATGCAAATTAACTGATATTATTCAGTAATATGAATTCCTTTAATCATGGAGCATGCAATGCCTAAATTTGTGCACACTTTGAAAAGGAAACGTCAATTCGCAGTCACACTTTTTTTAAAATCTGCTATTTCTGGGGATTTTCTCAACAAGGCGTGTGTCCACCTCTGTACAGCCGGATGAAATTAAAGAGGAGAGCATTTGAGGAAATAAACCAAAGATCTAAATTTTGCATTTGTAGCTGGTTATCTCAGTAAAAATAAGTTCCAATTTCATCAGAATTTAGGAAGGGATTTCATGTTTTTGAGAGAAAGGTTTAGCTGTATGCACCAATGGTTCTGCATAGACTTCTGTACCAGTCCCTTTAAAGAATACATTATTTGTTGACGAGATTCACTCCTATGACTCACCCCTATCAATATACATGTACATGTACATGTACATATACACGTACACGTTGGCCTACATGTTACTAACGCATGTATATCATTTTCGGGAACTAGACTAGCCACAAGTCTGAAATCCAGAAATATTTCATGAAATATTCATACAGTTCAATTTAATTCAAAGGCAACATTTATTTGCATACTTTCCACTAGCAAGTCCAATTAAGTTTGCAAATAAAAGGGAGGTAGTTAGTAGTAGTAGTAGTCTGAAATTATAAACGACTGGAGATAATTAATAAAGAAGGGTGAAAAGTATGGGGCTGTTCATATAAACCGAGGGTTGTAGAGAATAGCCTTTAAAGGAAAATTACAACATTTGCAAACATCGAAAAATAAAACTACCAAGTTTTTACGAAATACCTTACAGGATGTTGGTAAATGACAGTCTACAGCATACTGTAAAATTATGGCACCTGGTGTGAAGTCATTTTCAAGTAAATGGTATTTTTTTTATACATTTCCAACGGTGGTCGGCCGACCACCGTTGGAAAAACCTAAATATTTTTCAACTGCTGCTCCAAATTTACCATTTTTTCTTCAGTCCAAATTTTGTTTCCTATTGGTTGCATGTTCATGAATGGGGGCTGGCCAGCTAGACTGGTTCCCTTACCGTACAATTTTCCGGCATCTGTAAATTGATCCATTTAATTTTCAGTGGAGTCAGGGAACCAGACTACTGGAACAGGTTTGTTTTTTCTTGGTTTTTTCAGCATTTCCGAACACAAAACTTCAAACATGTCAGTGCAACAATAATTTGATCTATTATACTAACCCCTCAAATAGTTCATTTCTGAAAATTAAAGCAAAAGCCAATGATGTACATTCCCTTTAACACAAACACAGACAGTATAGAACAGTTTACATAGACAATAGAAATAAACATGAAAAGAAACGGACAAGGAAAACTGGACCAAAAAAACAAA